ACATTGCTTCGAGGACGCTTTTCGCGAACTTTTCCTAAGACTAAGACTCTGGGCAAGCAACTGTTCACTTACCAATCTGCAATCACTGTACTTTAATCTTCGAGCGATACTGTGGTGTAATGTCCTGATTTGTCGAAAAAAGAAGCAACCATTTTCAATTTTGTACCAACTTCAAAAGGAAGACCCACTCTGACGACTGGCTTTTACTTTCAGGTTCAAAGCAGTACAATCAGGTTTCGTCATCTGTCACGATATTATAGACAGCCAATGATTCTGTACCACTGGACACGCAGTCGTTTTTGGTCTTCCGTTAAGTCATGCAGTATCCAGCGAGTGCAAAGCTTCCGAACCTTCAGATGCACATGTAAAATGTTTTGCACTTGGCTCATTCCAATGCCTAATAAAGCACGAATTTGCTAGCAAGTAATTTTTTTTCAAGAAGTGTCGTACGGTGTCAATATTAGAGTCTATAACCGCAGTCGCCGGACGACTAAATTCCACGTCTAAATTTCAGTATGCCCCCTGTATTAACATTTGTCTTCTTATTCTTTTTCGTCTAATGAGAACAACGTTTGGGTAAAACAATTAAGAAGCTAAGATGAAAGAAAAATCGGGACAGTTTTACAAGATTATAATATTTCATTTTTGAGCAATGATACAGTCAGAATACTTTAATAACAGGTTATTGTACACTAAATATAGATATATATAATAATAAATGTTTAACATAGGTATTTAACAGCAGGAATAACTAACAAAAACAGTAGTGAAAATATGTAAACATAAAACAGACTTTTAAACATTATGACGCACTATGGGTGGCGATCAGCGAGTAATATTTTCCAGACAAACATTAGATGCACAACACCGTGGGATTAAACAGAAGTGTTTAAGGTATCAAGTATATGGTAAAATTAACATCAATTCTAAGAATTATACCTACTGTATTGGAGGAGTTTCATTCTAACTCAAGTGCTATAAAGAAAGCAAGGGACTCCTTTATGTCAGTCACACACTTAACCCGGTCATAGTTATACAAATATCTCCCACGGGTGCTATATTTAACAATATTGTGCAAAAAATGAGGGCCGCCTAATGTCTGATCCGTGTCGACATCATGAGACGAGTTTGTATGCTACTTGGCATTTAATAAATACTTTTTTGAGAGTGTAATTACGAATCTACATAAATTTATCAAACATTTTAGACAACACATGTGTACGAAGTAGCCTACTTTATTTTTAAAACCATCAGCGAAACTACATTTTTGTCGGTTAAATTTAGTCATATTGTTAACAATGTGGGTTTTAACTGCAAAAGTTATATGTAATTAGATTTCATCTCATCACATTTGGTAGGTACTTAAATAGATATGAGACTATAAATGAACAGAAAGGAGAAAACATACGCAATGGGGATTTGAATGTCTTCAAACATGAAAATTTTAGAATAAAATATTTAATCAATCAAAACTCAATCACATGCATTATTAACGTAGAAGGTAGTAATTAAATATCATATGTGAGTTTTAGACTTTAATAGCTGATTTAATAAATCTTACTTTCACAATAATTAATAATACAACATGTATACTTTGTACGCCAGTCATGTACTACAGATATGTGGCTGTCGTCGCACCGCGAACAGTCTCACGTATCACCAGACAAGTTTAAGGTAGCGCTGCTCTTTCTGCTATTGCGTAAACAAACAGGTCTAATTATTATTCGCCATTTTGGTGACACTAACCATAATAGTGGCAAAGTTACAAAGTTCGCAACTGACTCGTTAGTACACAGTAATAGAATACGTACGCGCTTTTTGTACCTACATTACCATAACTTGGAATAAACTAAATGAAATATTCTATAATGATGACCCTGAATTAGTAAACGTAAGGTTGTACGAAGGAAACTAGACAGACGAACTAAAGAAGGTAGTTAGTATGTACTGAATGCGGAAGTCGGAAGACCGAGTGCTGTAGCGCATACTTAGAGAGAGTTGCATCCAGCAGTCAACTGCAATAAGCTCATTCATTGATGAATTGATTTAAAAATACATATAATATTAATGTCTACAATAAAAGTGCGTAAAATAATATAACTACAGCAGTAACTTATTAGCAAACAGTGCTCATAATTGTTGTAATGTGTAAATTGAGCTTGTGACTATTTAAGCATATCCTATCCATATCTTGATGAGTTTTCAATATGAGTATAATAATGTGGAGAATCGCCTTAATCACCACTAGATCACCTTTTCAACATGTTAGCCATAGTTAGATCCAGGGTGTATTTATCTTAATTTCCTTTTCTTGTGATACTGCACGAGAAGATTAAGGATTTACAGAAAATTAAAGTATATTTAAACTCTTTGTGCCTCCGCTTGATCGTCAATTATGAGACATTTACCTATTGCCTATTATGAGACACTATAATTAATAACACCCTATATGAGTCTACACGGTTTGTTGCTCAATGGGTCCCATTTCACTTGGGATCGGCTCCATCTGTTATCTGTAATTACTTCGTCCCAAATGTATGTAAATCCAGCAACCCTTATAATCAACTAGAAATGAGACTTTCTAGACAACTAAATATTGCTTGACCCACCATTGGATGTAAGGATAATTCAACAGGCTTAAAAATGGTCTTTTTTATCTTGTTTTCAGTGTCGGTGACGTAATAAATGTACCTATGCTGCCAAAAATGAAAAAATATAAAATATAATGGGAGACCAGCGGGGACAAATCCTTTGCCATTTTTCGAGAAAAAAAAATCTCCATATTTTATTACAAAGCCAACTAGGACTATCCTGTCTAAAAATTAAACATTTTCGCGATATGCTAGTTTACGATTTTAAGTATGACCAATAATTTTTCAATAAACTTCAAACTTAATTGTAGATGAAGGCCCTTCTGAGGAAACTGCGTGGTAAAAACATGGTTCAGCAAAAAGAAAATGATTGATAATAAAGATCAGCACATACTTACTGATCCTTTTTATAAAAATCTGAAACGACGATCTCAAAAGAAAGAACCAATCGACAGTTTGGCTGTTTCAAAGTTTATGAAAATGTGCCAACGCTTACCTAACGATAAAGATGCGCTAGGAAGATTTTGATTGATAGTTTTTACTACAATAAGGAATGTGTTTCCAATAACTTTGGCTAAACTTCTATATCAATCTTACAGACCTGATTTGGCATAGTTTAACTAATTCTTATACGCTCTCAGCTGTGAAAACACTTGCGACGACTGTAAGAAGTGTTTTGAGAATAGGTTAAGACGCATGAAACTTTTTATTTAAAAATGATTGAGTTTTATTTTTAAAATTAAAAAAAAAATTAAGCCATGAATGTCCTTAAACATCATGTGTTCAGACTTTAAAGCTCGCGACACAAAGACATCTCAGACGATTAAACAATGTGACCATAGAACTGTGTCCACGAACATATAAATATCTATAATTTTAGTTCTAATATAATTAAATGATTAATTTCATCACAATAAATCAAAAATTAGAATAGAATAGAATAATCTTTATTGTACACCAATTCAGGATATTAAAAATTAGCATCCGCAGAAGCATCCAATAGTTTCTAAAGCTAAGTGTTCAAACATTTACATACCAATAAAAGTCACATCACCGAATTCATGGAGTTTATACCCCATAAAATTTATTCATGACAGTATACTAAATAAACCCTTATCATATAAAATAGAAGATCGTATTTCATGTTTATGCTGTTGATATCTTCCTCTATTTAAGTAATTGAATTGCACTACTGTTTCTGGCGCTACATTGTGTAAATGTCTACAATTTAGACTGATATTATATATTTGTGAGCTCTAAGGGGCTTTTATGGAGGTGCGTAAGGGTGTATTTAAAGGGATTTCAAAAGTGTACAATGGCGCAATGCAAATGCAAATGCAAACAACACGAGCTATTTTACGAGAAGGCAATATTGGAAAAATGTTGTCAACACGTGCACTCCACACGATTTACACCACGACTTTTAAGTGTCACTTTATTTTAACATTCCATTTAATCTAATTTATAATATTTTAAGTATGTTTTACAATAATACCTTATGGTATGGTTAACTACGTTTCACTTGAAATAACGATGATGTATATACTGATAATGTAGCTTTCTATTGGTAAAAGAATGTTTAAAATCGGTTTAGTTCATTAGACATGAAAGCGACAAACAAACAAACTCACTTTCAGATCTATAATATAAGTATGGAAATATTGATAGTTGTTATTGCTGCTATTTTTTTTAAAAAAAAAAAGACAACTCCCGCTTTAGGAATAAATAATCCTGTGTCGCGGGGGACTTTACAAACATACATGAAACGGACACAAAGAACACCCAGACTCAGAACAACAATTTGTGGATCACACAAAGAGTCGTCCCATGTGGGGTTTGAACCCACAACACTCGGCGTAGTAGAAAGCGGCGTGGCGACCGCTTAAACCACTACGCCATCCGTGCAGTCGCATTGATATGAAAATGATGATTTGATTCTCATGCGAATTTTGCATGCATTAGTTACAAGTTTGTGCAATGCTCTACCACACATACTTATAATTGAATAGAATGAACAAGATAAACAATGACCGTCATACGAGTGATAACATAGTTCCTAGGGATTGTGTAATAATTAATCGTTGTTCTCATAATGGGTTTTAACGTTAAGTGAATAATTATATTATAGTAATCATTATTTTATAAAACCGTACTTTCCCTTGCTAGACTTGATAGCTTTAAAGGGTTTAAAGAGTCTTCTGGCATTATCCGTAACATATTTTTACTAATAACAAATACGTCCGAGAGCCGACTAAGGGGGCAAACTGCAGCATAACAGCACTACAAACAGAAGGAAAACTTCAAACAAACCCTATACAAACACATTGGCCAGCGTGGCCAAAACCACCATTCAAGGAGAGACCTATGTCCAGCAGTGGACGGTTAAAGTCTGTATATAAATAACAAATAATGGTTTATCCCTCTTACATTCTAGATAAGTTGGTACTCAAATAGAACAAATCTGATGACACATGTCACTTCTCAAGTGCCTATACAAATTATAAAGGCATTAAGTTCTCACTTAATGTGGTAAATCTGAATATATCTTTTATTAACATTTATTTATATTATCATAACTATGACTTTAAATGACTAGAATTACTTTAAAACAATGCCTGCTTCCTAGTATTGTAGCCAGTAAGCGTTTTTTTCTCTTTTAGCTTTTCGTCCTTATGTTGAAATGAAATGATTTTTAAACACTGTAGTTAATATTGATTTGTCCACTTATTATGAAAAAACACCACGGTAATTTGTTATGAGATAAAATTAATTGGTATAATAGGAGACAGAAATGTGACAGCACATGTAGGACAGGATACTATAAGCTGTTAATCAAATAAATTAAAAAGTAATTGCATTTTCAGTGGCACTGGTGCTCGGGTTTACTGGTGCTGCTCCTCAAACGATCCAATGCAGAAAAGTTTACGCTTGGGTATCTCACCGGCTCACAGCGACGTCCAGGAGACTATAGTTACCAAAGACCAGGCAGAGTAATATCAGGTATGTGCTTTATGTTTTAAGGCAGACAAATGATTTAAACTTACTTATAATATTACTAGGTAATCAATACCCATAGGCAATGAGCATATTTATTTATATAACTTAATACACAAGTTATACACAGGCGGACTTAATGCCCAGGGCATGCTCTGCCAGTCGACCTTCGGGTGATGTAGAAAAATGATGCGGTAGGTGCAAGAGAAAATTGAGAATTGGACATTATTTATATTAAATTTATTAATTTAAGATAAATCTAACTTACATATATATACACTATACACTGTAAATAAAATACTGTATTCATTACTACATGTATACAAAGAGGTCCCAAGCTTACACATAAAATACATAAACATACACATATATAAAAACATGAAAATATCAGAATACACACTCGGGTACTAGCGTTGTAACCTATGCATTTCACACAGCATCACAACAGTTATTTTATACACGGGTTGTCTTTAACAGGAACGTTAATTGGAAATTATATTATTTAGACTCAAGTTCAATTGACAAGACCAAAATCCCTGAGAGTTACCCTGACGCATACTGATTGATATTCCCTTATGCTTCAGTCTAAATACTTAAAAGCTTGTGTCTTTTTATGCTATAGTAGACGAGAAGCATAAGCCAAGAGACACAACTCAAGGGACACGATTGCGTCACCGCCCAAATCACCTAGTATCGCTTAACACTGCTTTTTCTGAGACCATGGTGTCCAAAAGCATAAGTTATAAGACGCACTGAAATAACTACACATTTTAACATGAGCTACGCTCTAAAAGGGTTATTTGCATACATTCATATTAATTACAACGCACTATCAACATTCAAATGTTCCCAAAATGTCTCTCTCATTTTAAGAACTTTGAAAGCTTTATTATGTTCATAAATGCCAACAATCAAGGTCTAATAGCGAAACTTTACAGATAAATTATTTCACTTTAGCGAAAGAAAGACTAGTGTCTAGTATTTACCTTACATAATACCAAATACCCACGGTTGTGTACAATACACTGAAGCCACCCTCTTGCATTTATTTACTCAGATTGGCAAATCGAACCACAAACAAGATTAATGGATACTCTTGACGCGGAACTCATGTTATATAATCTCCGACAGAAAATATTTATCTTACAATTATTATTCTACATTAGTATTTAAATATTATATATATTTAAATATTTTCTTGTATTTCTAAACAGGTGCTATTTCCATGGCTGTGGATGAAGTGAATGAAAAGCTCTTAGGTCCAATGGGCCATTCTCTGGACTTCGTTGTTGCAGAAACATACGGACAAGAAGAAGTTTCCATTCGGCAGGTGCGTTGTCTACAAACACACTTATTGACTTTTATTATTTCTGTTAGGCATTTTAGTTCCAATCACAGTTCAGTTTACAAAAAAAAAATGGTAAGGTCAGCTAATGCCATAACATTGTTGTAAAAGATTGTAGGCAGCCTTGTAGACATTTAAAAAGAGATGGGCCTTATTGGATTGCCAGCTTAGTTACATATATGAACAAATCTCAATCATTTTATAGTGATCGATTACTTCCGACAGAATCCAGTTTTCATTATCTGAGAGAAAACTTCACCTATGTATATAAATTTATGTGTTTACACACACTATATAACGGCTATAACCGTTAATGTTTTATGAGGTATAATCCTAAATATATTGAAAACATATAAATTCATATCATATAAAAAAAAAATCCATTTAAGGTTAACAAAGTTAGTCGAGTTTCACAGTTAAACTATGCGTTGTAATCACCGATTTAATGGCTCATACACCACTGAATGAACTCTTGAACCGGTGAAAACAAGAACTGATGTAGTTTCTCGTATGTAAGTTCGGTTATTCTTACTTTTATGTCACCGTTTAGAACTTATTTGCCATTTTTTGTTATCATTCAAAGTATGTACTTAATGGTTATTACAAGAAAAGTATGCGCTAATTCACTTAACACGTCTTTAATCCCTTGAAACTGAATTGTAAATGGTAAAATAGATCCTTATAGGTACAATAAAAACCTTGTTTATACATAGCTAACTGTATGTGTGAGGACGTTTGATAAACACACTTTATCTGTCAGTAGATTCCAGTGCAATGGATGTTATTCCTGTACAATGTATTGACTTAGTAAATGTGGCCATCAGAAAGCAAAACACGTTGTCAATACATTGAAACATCTTATTAGTTTCATTCACCTTAAGTTCTTATAGGTAAATTATTCACTCATCACCAATCAGAAATATCCTTGACTTTTGGGCAATTGGATAAATACGGTAACGGTCTCAAATACTTAATTACTGATGTACTTTTTCTGTAATAATATAAGTACAGTACATATTAAAGTAAAATATTCATGTTACTTTTTTAAACTAAAAAACATTAACAGATACTCATATTCGTGACTTTTTTCGCTGTAAAAGATCCTTAGAGATAGATGTATGTAAATAAGCGCTGTCGCCATTTGGGTGTCTCCCTTCAGTCAGCGGGAGGGAGTTTTGAATTAATAGCACATTCTACTGACGAACTACAACGGAATTCATAAATTAGTCAATACTGTGTATTAAGTGAATTTCAATAAGAAAAATTGATTATTTTACCCCTTTTCAAACATTATCGCGTGAATTGAGTCTGCTTTTCCTGATAGAAGAATGAGACAGCCCTGGCTACATCACTTTAATTGCTTAACACCATATAATAATATAATATATCACAACAAAAGCTTTTTACCCATAGTTATTAGAGTTAGCAAGTAAACGAGAATTGGGACTCCATTAACGCCACCCTCTGTGCCTAGCTTGACGTACCAGCCAGCTAACACATAAAATGGTAATCGCAGATTCCTTTTCGACTCAATAAGATTTTTGTAAATGTATTTTCTTAGAACAACTTATAAGTGGGTGGAAGTCCATTTCCCAATTCCTTTTCGAACCAATAAACCGTGAACGATAAGACGCGAAAACATCTGTTATATAATATAGAAAATATGCTTACGATATAACAGTATGTTAGTTTCATTCACACATAATAAAGTTAAATAAACTAATTTAAATTAACAGAACACACCATCATCACACACGTCATACAGACTCTATTGAATTGTTCTGTCTCTTTGCTAAACGCCGGAATAATTGGGAAGAACAAAAACAAAGAAAAGCTGTCAGATACTCATACTTAATTATGCGCATATTCACGACGTTTCCTCTGACTTATAGTAGTATAATACCGCTATGAGTCATCGTTGAATAAATATTTTATTTTTAACCTATTTCAAAAAAGTATGAGAACTGATTCCAAACATTCTTTTGAGGTATCAGGTATATTCTGTTAATATTAATATAACAGTATTGTATTACATTTTTGTCTGAATTCTAGTATTTATTTTTATTTTATTTATTTTGTCAATCAACAAGAACATAAACCTTAAAAGCAAGAGATACAAAGGCAGTGATATACAAGCATTAGTGCTGCCTTAATTATAGGTTGCCACGAGAAGCATAAAAGAGAGTTGGGAGCGTAAGACTTCCCCTAACTTAAAAAAAAAGAAAAGACTTGAGCAAGCATTTTCTTACAGAATAACTACTTAAAAATCTACAACATAAAACAAACAAAAGTCCTTATACATCAAATATATCTCAGCTTAACAAGACCAGGATAGTTACAAAAAAGATTGCCGTGAAATGTTTCTAAAAGTCTCATAATCCCTGTCTCATTCCTATATAATGTGTATTTATGTCTCATCCAAGTTTTATATAATAAATAGTGACATATAGAACAGGAAACATCGAACATAAATTTTACTGTATGAGGAAACATTATCTTTACAAACTTTTATCTATTGGGGGTATTTGTCTGGGAAATTGATGTACATGAAGAAAGTATGCCAAAGTTGACAGTCAGGAGGGCGGGAAGCTCGAGCGTTGTGTAAAAAATGAGAACATCAGTCCCTGTCGGCAGCAGGCAATGGCTGTGCCAGAGTCTAATCAAATAAAGCGTAGCGTAGCTTGGTAAAACCATATCGACAGCACTAAATGTTTGATGTTTTTAATTTTTCTCAGCCTATGGGCAAAATAATTAGACTCGTGATCATACTTTCGTTAAGTAATCATTCTAAATTTTAACTGAAATGAATAACGCCAATGCCTTATAGGTTATTAATGCGTGTAACAAATCCGCACCGCACTAAGAAAATGGTTTGAGAACGTTTGTTGACATGACTAACTTTTATATTCTCTTTTGCATACTATTAGAAAAGTTTTTATCACAAATGATTTCTAATATTTTAGTTTTAAGTCAAAACCTCCTTCCTAAGGAGAAGCCTATGTCCAGCAGTTAACTACCAAAGGTTGTTGATGGTGATGATAATTTTTTTTGACGCAAATTAATTTTAAACAGAAAATATAATTTTAGAAATAGCTTACACTTCGTCTCATTGGAGGCTTATTACAATATTTTTCTGCTGTTAAGATATTTTTACAAGTTTTATTTTTATTTTTTATATTTACAGCACGATAAAACACTTAAATTCGTTTTTAGGCCGCAAATTTACCGTTTCGTTGTACCCAGTATTGCTTCTAGGATATATATGGAGAAAGTGGCTATTGGCACAACCGTAACAGCAATCATATTAGTTGTGTACGTCCTCATAGAATACTACACTAGAAAGTTAGGTATTACGTATGTTCATAACTAAACGTATATATTCACGTACATATATTCACATACATTCACGTCTTTATCCCAGAAGGGATAGCCAGAGGCTTATCAAATTTTGCCTACTATAATTTTAATCATTCTGTCCACGGTGTTCTTTGTGTCCGTTTCATGTTTGATTGTAAACTCCCGCGACACAGGATTTATTCCTAGTCCGGGAGTTGTCTTTAAAAAAAAAGTATGTATAGCTGTTTAATTGTTAGGATTTTGGTATCTTTGTAGATTTTAAGTGTTGATGTTAGGTAGTCGTACTAATAAAGTGTTTTTATTGCTTTATTTTGCAAGACTTCAATTTTTTTAATATTCGATTTCGAAGTAGTGCCCCATATCTCAACTAGGTATGAGGTCTAACTAGAGCGTTATAGATCATTACTTGACTTTTGTTAGGGACGCAAAAGGACACTCGAGGTAGTACACCAATAACAGGAGATATTTTGGATTTAATATGTGCAATATGGTGTTTCTATGTTAATTCTTCTCTGCTTCTAGACTTGTAAACAGGAGTCACTTTGGCAATCTTAAGACTATCAAGGAATATTCCCAGTTCAAGGCACTTATTTATACATTCAGTTAAGTTATCTATTATTAAGTTTTTAATTAATTTTAAATCTTTGACCGTAATCCTATCAATAACACTACTTGTATTTATATCTAAGTTATCGATTATTTTACTAATTTCTTGTTTTGTGCAAGGTTGTAGGATATTTAATATAGTTGTATTTGTTTGTGACTGTGTCATATTTATATTTACCCTGTTTGGAGTATATAGGTTTGTGTGTTTTCTTACTGGCTAACCTTGAAACAACTGTGGAAAAATAATCGTTAAAATATTGGCAGATTTGCTTACCATTTGTAATTACATTGTTTTCCATTGTTGACTTAACTGGAAATTTTTGTGTTTGTTATTTGCTAGTGTGTTAATTAAATTCCACATTTTTTGTGTATTTCTGGCACTTCTTGAAACTATCCAAGTACTACTTTCTTTTCGTGTTTCTTATTGTTTTATTAGTCACTTAGCCCTTATCATGTTTACAGGCACTCCATGCTTTATTACGCTTATGTAACATATCAAGCACATCTTTATTGAGCCAGTCATCACGAGGCTTGTTGAGTTTTTTTTTTTCTTGTAATTTTTGTTATAAGAGTTTCCTGGTTTTGAGAGTAGTTCTCCTCCTTGTTAAATTCTGTTTCTTCAACTGATTTGTATAAATTCGTGTAGTCTGTAGGTATTCATATTTTAACTTTTTTGTAAGTAAAGGTTTTTTTAGTTCCAAGTAGATTTGTTTATGTTCCGATAGTATAGTACCAATTAAGGTCATATAAAAGGTATATGGGATAAAATGTGGTCAATCACGATTTTCGTTTAACGAGTACAATATTTCGTACTTATATTGTTGAGTATTTGATAACCGAATTCGTTAAGCATGCTTTAAAATAGCGTTGTTTAAAATAGCTTCATAAATAATCCATTATTTTTTGGTAATATTTAAAAGATAAAAATGGTTACTGTGGGTTATCCTTAGGAGATAGACATATACCGTCGCGGACTTTTTCGTAAATATTTTTAAGATATACAATTCTGTAGTACATTATTTTGGTCTATTTTTTTAGACAAATCTTTGAAATTCTCAGCTCTTCTCTACTATGTTACTACGTTACTACTACTACGTTATGCGTCCGTGTGGTGATGAATTAAGAATACGGAATGTCACCATCCCTGTTCATACCGTGGGTGTCGTAAGAGCCGACTAAGGGAACAAACTACGCAGGACAACAGCATTGCAGAGAGAATTAAAACTTGAAACAAACCCTACACCAACCCGTCTGGTGAGCATGGTATAGTAGGCATAAACCTCCTTTTTAAGGAGAGGCCTATGTCCAGCAGTGGAATATTATAGGCTGTTGATGATGATGATGACTTTTTAAAAAGTAGTTTTGAAAAATTAGTAACATTTTTTTTATTACTTTTATTATGAGTTTGAAAACGCTACTACCTAAAACTACGAAATTGTATATCAATTTTCAACCCTTATTTTGCACCCTAAGGAGTGGAATTTTGCGAAATCCTTTGTTATTGCATACCTACGTCGCCTAAGGAACATTTGTGCAAAATTTCACCATTCAAGACCCAACGGATTCAGCCGTACGTTGACCGATAAGTCAGTGAATCAGTCCGACAGTTTCTTCTTTTATAGATATAGATTAGAAATGTTTATATGAGATACTTCACAAAGATCGGTCTGCACACAGAACAGTTGTAAACAATAAAATACTCGTAGTCAAGTCCTCTACCTAATATTTCTTATTTTGACTTATAAATCCTACTTCTTATACAGTAAATGAATTTACTTTCACAACTAACTTTTGATGGTGAGTTTCCTCTATCTGAGGTGGAGTCACGAATAATGCGAATATACTTCAATGTGACAAGAATCAAGTATGAAAATATTTGATGCGACTTTTGATTTTCGTCGTATTCGGTCTTTACTTGAAAACTGAGCTTACACTGATAACTTAATTCCTTGAATAAATCATAAACTAGTTATGACAACGTTTGAATTTGTATATTATTATGATATTTGTCACCCAAATAAACGAAACGATTTAAAAACCCTAAATTAAGTTAACTTCATGTTCCTTGTTTGCTTTTTAATTTTAATCTATATTAGGACACAGGTAACATTTTGTTATTTAAACGAAGCGCATGCTATGTCGGTCAATATACGATGGAATCTGAACAAATGGCATCGTGCTCGCTATTAAATAAATACAACCGCGGCCTAGAAAAATACTCGAATAGGGAATAACTATTGTATATGTATACTAACAGCAAGGTGTTTCAGATGTTTCAGATGAGATTATTTGTTCCAAAGCAAACGTATATGTACTTTTGTAAGCAGTGTAAAAAGGAATTACAGTGTGGAATTACAAACTACGTAGGCCAACGGCACTGCAAAGAGACGGAAAACTTGAATAAAACCTTTTACTAACCCAGACGGGCCACGTGGTATAGTAGGCCAATACCTCCTTTTTATAAAGTAGCCTATGTCCAGCAGTGGATTATTAAAGACTGTTGACGATGATGAATAAATTTATTATTATTTTGCAATATAAATAAAAATGATAACCTACATACTTATGTTAATCATTTTATTGTATGTATTATTCATTTTCATTTTCAAGTTATGCAGAAAGCGAACATTTTAAGCCTATATAAAAAAGTTAAGGACGGCTTTGTATCTTTGTTTATTAAAAACCACTTCCTCAACAAATAGCTAAATTGCATGTACAGGGCGTCAATGTCAAATAATATTTCCAGGTCAACAAATCCCATTAATCTGCGGGGCCTTCATCTAGAAAAGAACACTAAGTATATAAAAGAACAAAGAAAGATAAGTCTCATGTAAATAACTGAAATAAAGTGAACATAAAAAGCTTCTGTTATCACTTGGTTACATACAGAACACTTCACTCGGCAAAAGTCGCGTCATTAAATTTTTATCCCTTCAACAGAAACAAGTTTCTTAAAATACTCTTTATTTTTATGACAAGCTAGAGGGTTCTATGAAATAAAGACAACAATCTTGTGAAAAATCTTTCCATTTTATATTAAACCTCTATCGCATTTTGTCACAGGACCTCTCGTAAACTAGAGGGACATAAAATTGTCGGATACTAAGAGTTTAGTGCGGCGCGAATGCCCTTTTGTCTTTGCTGGTAAAACAAATACGAGTGCATAATTTAGACATAACAATTAATAATAAAGAAGTAGCGTTGTAAAAGTGTAATTTTCTTCTTTAGACTAGAACTACAGGCTTAACTTTAAAGAAAATCTCAAGACCTCTTCTATAGCCAGAGGGCCTAGTGTGTGTTTATTCACATCAACTCGATAGTCACGGTGACCGCCCTGGGCCGTGTGGCGCGATTGGTCTGCACTGAACTCTTCACATCTCACACTAGGCCCTCTGAATGGCTAAGTTAGTGAGTGTGTTCAACAGGTTGCCGCTTTGTGGGCAGCCAACGTGTCTGCATTCATCGGACCGCAAGAGACGTGTGTCCACGAAGGACGCATGGCCGCAGCTTTCAATTTACCTATGGTTAGCTATGTGAGTATCTACATTGATATACATAGTTATATAGTACCAAATACTTTAAAAAATGTGTAAATATCATTATTTTATCCTATCACTATTTATTTCAAAATAGTGACATCATCTTACTATAAAATAAAACTTTCAACAAAAAAAAATCCAGACTGAGGACATCAACTGTAGCAAGTTTGTTAAAACTTTTTGTTTTTGCTTTCTTGTGTATTGAATTGCATTAAAATATAAATCATAAAACTTCTAAGTACACAACAGTTCCGCTTTGTGTAAGTTCAAAGTATTTTATCATCCTCAACCTTCCTGCTATAAGTTTATGAATATCAAGAATTGTACTTATATTAGTTCAATATATTTCCTTTTTAAGAAATTGGCAGTGGTTTTTTTTTAATAACCTTAAGTGGTAGAATATTGAAACAACTCGTATATCTATCGAAGGCTAATCGCTCAAATGTCAAAACCCTATTTAGTGTACTGTGTGTGTTTAGTCGATACTCGCGTACTCGCATTACTGAAAACGACAAGATAATCATGTTCAAAAGGTCACACACACACGCACACGAGCTTCAAAACCGTCTTTGAACCTCTTAATACGTTAATAAAATGCCCTTTAAGAAGTAGCAATCTATATACTACTCACGGTAATAACTTTAGTAATAAATAGGTGATTTGCAAAAATATGTGCATTGAAGGATTAGAATAATACCGTCAAATTAAATGTTAGATCTCCTATAACAGGTTTTAGAATGTTTAAAGCTGTTGACGGCCTTTCATAATTTTGTTTTAATATATTTAACCTTTAGCTAACCTTTTCTTAGCACAAAATTTCAATGTAACCTTACAAGAGGAATCAAAACACACAATTATAGTTGCAGACAAAATTTATTATGATTAAACCTACATAAGTTAATGCTTTTTTACCGTATTGCAAGTTTGCAATGCAAGAATAAAGCTTTTCCACAATAAGCTTTATATGATATTTCATGCGATCCTAACGGATCACAAGATGCAAGAGGTCAACTTCTCAGACTTTACTTTTTAGTGAACTACTTAAATAGTTGACATTTAAACAAAATTGTTGTATGCGAAAAGGCAAGATGCCAAGACGCCGCGAGACAATTGAAAAAAGAGCAATATATTTTGAATTTAAAATTGACTGTTGCAAAATAGTAAGTACTCGTAAATGCAGTCAATACATTATGTTAATGTAAACATTCTAACAACATATATAAACGAAAACTTTACATTTTTTTAGGGCGTATTTATTACAAACTTGTTCCATTCTAACATAACTACAACTGATAAAGGCTAACAAAAATCTTAACATAAAAGCTCAAAGAATTACTTTTAAACAAACACTTTTTTTCTAATTTGGATTTTCTGCAATCAGTTCTGCAGTTCTACGTTATATATTTTTTTTAATGTGATTAACTTATTGAGCAATAAAACAAATACATTACCTAATGCTGAATACAATCAATACGTGTTTTAACACGCGTTTATTATTTTGGTATGTGTCGTATGTAGGTATGTATGTAACGGAATCTTCAAACGTGATTTTGACCCACCTCATTATTCAGTTTCACAGACAATTCTCATGTACTAAAATTTTTAATGATGATTTAGATCTAAATTAGCTTTCTTATTAAGATTGATTATTAGGGCCTTTTTTCTATTATGCTTATTTTAGAAATTCCGATTGTTCCTATCAAAGTGGATTCTGACGTTAAAGTTTATGTACGTCGTATCGTCGTTTATGTATTTCAATTTCAAATATATGAATTGCATTTTTTTAATACTCGTGCACGTCGTTTAATATATCTGAAGCTAAGACAATAGGTAAATATAGTTTAGCCTAACGTAACGTAATTTGTGACCAACGTAAAACGATAACAATTTAATTCATGATAATTTGTGATATTTAGTAAAGTAACCTTGATTGTATATTTTGTGTATGTTCAGTGTCCAACTATGCTATGATATAATGAAAATGGTATTCACATATAAACCTCTTATTCTCGCTTATCTCGTATGTACATTTTCATCCACGGCTTATCTAGATGTTCCTTACACCTTATTAAAGTATTTGCATGAAATTGTATATCAGTCACCAAAGTAGCGTACAATGAAAAATATTCTCACTATAAATCACGTGGATTGGGTAGCAGGTTGCAGCCTGTCTGCATACACAAACACGCCACAAATTAACTCTGTTTCTTATCATTGTACAAGGTTCCTGATGGTCAATTCTCGTAATAAAATCGTTCAATATTTAGTTCCGATCCAACATTTAACGTTGACTGTAATGTGATTATTAAAGATAATTATAACCCAGAATGGGCTTTATATACGTAGTAAACATGTTTAACCGTGCATTAAATTGTCCACAGTATTGCCGCGATGTAGCCAGTTCAAACAAGCGGGTGTATTCAACGTTCGCGCGTACCCGGCCCTCGGACATCGATATATCCCGTTCTGTTGTCGCCGTGCTCAAGCATTTCAATTTCATGCATGTAAACATTATAATATTAAATAAATATGCACACAATAAATATAGATACGGGTACATATAAAAAGACAATCGCAAACTAAAAGCAGGCATACTTTGAGAGTTATAAGTTATTGTTACATAGACAATCATGAAGAATTATATTCGATCTGAAACTGCTCACCCGTTGCACTTCTATATTACTATATACTTCAATGACTAAGTGATAATTATTTTTGTTTATTGAGAACTGCTAAAATAAAGAAAAACACTTTACCTTTATCACAAATTTAGTTTCCTTTCCTTCGTTTTTGCATATGCACTCCATTATTTTTAGTTAGTAAATGAAATTAGACAAAGACATAAATAATTAATTTATTTATTTTCGCACACTAATCGTATTGATTTCTATACCCGTTTAGCCTGAAATTAACTAGCTGGAATATGTCATCATTCAACAGCCCAATTTTTTTACATCGCTTTCCTCCACTGTTTGCTTGCTGTTTCCTCCACAGCTTTACTCGATATATAAATAACTAATAGCTATCAACGTCGGGGATAAATGAAATGTTTTCCGAAACTTGTTAAATTCTAAGGCGATATCATGACCACACATTCAGTCACTAAAGTTATATTTTACTGAATTTTAAGTAACCTATAAAATTTCAAAGTTTCCTTTTATTTCGAAAGCAAACTGCTGTCCTTGAATATACACAGGTTCAATTTTGCGATGATCGCAAGAGACTAAGCTAAGATGTTTAATTCTTTGAATTATTACCTAACAGTTTCATCCTACAATATACGACAAAGAGTCGCATGGCGTGTTTTTGATGCACGCCCCAATTTCTCAACGCCATACATAAATAACATATCAGTATGTCAGTGACTGTCACGGTACTGGTGATTCGGTGCACGATCGAACACGCGCTACTAAACCTGACCCAATGTACAGTGAAATTGACAGGTAGTTTGTGAGCAAGGACTCACATTACACTTATAACCTATCTCTAAATTGGCATCAAATTTAAAACACAGCTGTGTTTAGTATTATCAAGTTGTCCTGACCCGCTCTCAATTTCACTAGTCTTGTCAAATACTAACATCCATATTAAAAAAATCTTATCTCCAAATTTTTTTTTTTCCCAAAGCTTTTTGAAACAAAACACGCCTTTGATAAATAAGGGATATTAAAAGATTTGAATACCCATAAAATTGGACCGTTCCGTTGTCTTTTCTTATTACCATTCAGTAAAAGGAAAAAGGATCTATAAAAGCCTAGGAAAAATATATATTTAAAAACCAATTTTATCTGTTTGTACAGGTAGCGTTCGTTTACCTGAAGGCCCCGAATCACGACTTTTCACGCTTAGCCCTTGCAATAATAGCGGCCGCCAGGGAAAACCAAATATCAGTCCGGACAGTACAAGTATACAGACAGCCATATTACTATGAAAATAGAAAGGAGAACTTCTCAAGAAACCCCTTTTTGGATATTGTTCGTGATACGTACAAGGAGACTAGAAGTATGTTAACCATTGTGTGCTCTGAGAAGGTTATAACATACCTAATGAAATGTGTTTAAAGTACCGATTTTCAAAATCAGATCAATACTCTCGGATAGTCACTCTGTTTCAATGAATACTTGTACTTTTATAACTAACTAAACATCTAATTTCCTGTTTGTAATATAGAATACCATTCAGTATATTAAATCTTTCTAGTGGCACACTCTGTATTTTATACAAAGTCAATTCTCGTGAAAACTTTAATAGTAACATTAGTTGTCTTGCAGTTTACGTGTCGGTTGGTTATTATCACGATCACATTGGCCTGATGTTGGCGTTGGATGCTATGCAGCTATTGGATTCAGGTATGTAGTTTAGTACTCTGTAGCCGTGTCTTCTTCTAAGGAGGTTAGTATACATTTTCAAACAAAAAATAGGTTTACACTAAATATTTGCCATCTTTGTAAAGTTGGTTAATAGGGTTGCAAATATTTCAGCTATTCTCATTTATAGAAGCCAGAGATCGACCTCATAGATATTCGATAATGTGATTGGCAATTTTTCTCTTTAACTCTTAGGTTTAGACTTTAATACACTCGGTTTTCTACTAATCAGTGACAATCTTATCTTTATTATGGCCAACCCTTCATTTAAAAATTGAATTCCATGGTAGTAAAAGTGAACAATATTAAGATAAAGCACAGTTCTCTAAAAAATATTGAAATTATCAAGAACTTGTTCCTACTTCTAGTTCGGTTTTCTATTAAAGCGTTTTTGTATCATCCTGACTTGTGCAGAACATTTGCACCAGTTAGGATGATTTTTAGTCTCTATCCTCATCATACTTTATTAAGTTACGATAACAATTCTAAAACAAATTTTAAACATTCAACCGCCACTACTGGCAGTATATATATTTATGCAACGAATTAATTAATTGTCCGTAAAGGCTTAGAATCTGTTTCAATTAGAGTTTAACTAGAAAAAATGAAAATAAAAGGTGAACGTGTACGTATTACAGTGTAAAGATGACAAATAGCTTAGTAATAGAAAATTCTCATCTTGACATCTCAATTTGACGGCGCGACGTTCGAACTTGCTCATTTAACAAACATTTTTAAAACCGATACATCTTCTTTCGCAATAGACTTTAAATGTTCTATTTAAAAATTCAGTTACGAATGGAGGAATGCCAATAAAAATTGATTTATGATATATGTATAAAAACTAGTCTTCGAATACGTTTTATTGTTTTTAAATTCGTCCTAATAATTATTTTAATACTACAAATTACTTTTAAGTGCCATTCTGAATAAACGGGCCCATTCAACTGAAAGATAATATAATATGTTTGCTGTCTATATTGAGGTAGGTACACCAGGACTTAATTTCTCTGTTTGAACAGAAATTTCAAATTTTTAAGATTACTTCAAGCGATACGATATTTATTCGTAGTTGTAAATTATATGAGCACATAACATAATTTTTAAACTAGAATAATATAAAAATAAGAAGTAGAAATATATATTTTTTAAAGACTCCCGCACTAGGAATAAATCCTGTGTCGCGGGGGACTTTACAACGGGACGTACATCAAGAACACCCTGACTCAGAACAACAATTTGTGAATCACACAAAGTGTCATCCCATGTGTGGATCGGACCCACAGCACTCAGCGTAGTAGTGAGCGGCGTGGCGACCGCATAAACCACTATGCCATCCGTGCAGTCAATATAATAAGGCGGTGAATTTATAGGCGTTATTGAAAACTGTTTTACGTCAAATCAATAGTTAGGTTAAAATATATTACATATATCAATTACTATAAGTAAAATAATAAGGTAATACTATATATAATAATTACTTATAAATATAAAAATTAGGTTTTATGTCTGGTAAGTAATGTGTTAAATCGCATTAACATTATGTTATCAAGTAATTTCACGAGCTTTTATACATTTTATATTAATATCATGATTTATATTTAAAAATTCTCATTTCTTCGAAATCATAACGTTTTACGATGTTATTTTATTTTGTCATGCACTCTTTAAACTAAAATATTTAACGTAACTGTAAGAAAATTGCCATGCAAAAATAACAGTCTGTAAATTACTTGATATTATTAAGATACAGACAGGATTTACTGAAGAAAATCAACAGAAATTAAAATTTATGGCCGGAAACGGGACCAATTAGAGCCAGCTGAAAGGATAAAATTTGTATTTTCAGGCCTACACCCAACATCTTTACAATGTATGTTACTGTAAATTCGCATCACTCGTTGTCCCATCCAATTACTTACATTGTCCCCGTAATTACATTCAACTGTTAAATATAATTATTTCGGTCCCACAAACAACATGCTCACCGTACCTGTTTATTTACTTTTAGTATTCACATACTACAAATTTTCGAAGAAATTTACTTTCTATGTTTACTTGTCTCATTTTTAACAGGCTTTTATGTTCTCCTTGATCGCAACTAATAGTAAACTTGACACTATTACGTCATAAGTTGAGTTATGTTTTTAAAATTATTAGATATCAGATATCTCAAAATTCTCTTAGTTATTAAATTTTCTAGTCTAACGTCTTAAGGAAATTATTTTAGGCATTTGCATATGGCTTCATTTTTGAAAGCTGATATTTGATTTCATAGCATAAAATTTTGTTATCTTTACAGTGTTCTTTCAACTTTAATGGGTTTGGTACATAAAAGCAACGTATGTTATTCAATATCTACCTAGCCATCAGGAAACATGCTCGATACACATGTAGAACAACATTTTATGATGTTGCCTACTTTCGGCTAATCCTTAACACGGCTTTCGTATGTGTGCAAACAAACATACCTAGGGCTCGTATCAATCAATTATATATCAATATTAATTTATTACTTCAACCACTGCAAATAATGAAAATCAGTTGTGAGTTGGTACAAAAAAGTTGCACACTAGAAAATTTGTCCATGAAATGGAAAAAGTTTTCAACCTTAAGTTAAATTTATTGTTTATGAACATGACAGCTTTCTATCATCAGTTTTCATCATTTCTTAACCTCCAGATTTGACTAGGTCTAATTAATATTATTAAGTTTTTACGATCTATTTTCATAGTCACTAATTATGGGGTACCTCACATTTCAGTCCACTCTTTAAACACGTACACAACTAATATGTTTGGTACGGTCCTGTTAATAGGCACTCTCTAAATAGATAGATATCCTAGAAGCAATATCAGACCACCAAACGGAATGTTTGTGGCCTAAATATGAATTTAAGTATTTCAATACACAACTACGTTAAACAAAACGAAGCTACGTTGTGACAGGCAAAATTCTAAATCTTAACTCGAAAATCAAAGAAATCAAAACTGCTTCAAAAGTATTTTCATTGATAACATGTACTTTAGTTAATCATCTCCATTAGTGACGTAAAACATTATATAAGTGAAAATCGTGCGTGCGTGCTTAATTCTCTTAAGCTCACATGTGATATGTTTGTCTAGATCTTCTTTTGTTTAACTGACACAAGTGCTCGTCGTGGAGAAATCTTTTACTTGCATTAGCCCTTCTTATGGTAGAATTTGTCACCACGTTCACCAGAATCATATTTTTAATACTAAAGAGACGAGGTACCCGTGTCTCGTAGGCGTTTAAAAAACTCGAGTGTTGTGAGGTCGTACCGTACATGGGACAATTATTATTTATCTGATTGGGAGACAGTTGTTCTGAGTTTGGTTGTACTTCATGTCCGTTAATTTTATGTTTATACAGCCCTTGCGACATGGATAATTGGCGAGAGCGTTGATAATAACATAAATATAACACAGACATATCAATTATTACGAAATAAATCTTATTAATTAAAATAGCCATGATAATAAAATTTAATAGTAAAAATGGCCACTAAAACTAATTATTCCGATTGGGACTATATCTTAATAAACGTTCTATAAATTCTTGTGTAAAATAAACACTCGCGCCGTAGAAGTTTGTTTGTCTTAATATAGATGATACATATGTATATGCAACATACGTATGCCGCCATCTTTGACGCATGATCATTAATAACATAGATAATATAAATACATGTTCTATTTTATATTATCCCAGTCAAGTCAAGATGTTCCCTATGTAGGCGGTTGGCTTTTTACCTGTTTTTATTGAAATTATGTCATAAAATCATCGTCTAGATAGTTAGACTGAACTCATAAAAACACAGAACTCAAATTGTTATCTTAAAATTATGGTAATATAGCCCAAAAATAAAAATAATACCCCACACACCTTAGACTTATCTCTATTTTACGTTTTCCTCAAATATCATTTACGAAAATAGATAAGAAGAACATTCATGTTTGTGACAGATAACGCATAAACAGATACGATTTATAGTAACTCGTTGTTTGACACAGTTACTTAGTATATACTGTTAGAATTATTTATCGCGATATACTTAAAATTATTGAAGCACTGGAACACTAAGCAAAAATAAAGTACTAAATAAAAATGACAGTTCGTAGATAACTCTAGCTATAACTCTTATAATTATTGACGAAAAGATTAAAATATCACGTACTTAGAAATAAAATATTACTAGAAATTGGCTTTTGTTTTGTTTATTATATATATATATATATATATATATATATATATATATATATATATATATATATATATTTGTAACGTTTGTAGATCCGTATCTGTATTTTTTTATTTCTTCACTTCTCCAACATTAACAAGTAATAATCTTTATCAACAAGTAATAAAAAAAAATTAAAACAAAAATCCAACTGCAAAAAGACAATTTAAAAGTAATGCATTAAAAAGACCGAAACAGCACGAGGTCAGCACACAAACATGGCCCATTTTTACCTTATCAAAAACTTTTCAAACAATTTATTATTCCTTTTCAAATTTAAATATATAACTTATGTATATTTTTAAAACCCTTTTAGTTTTCTTGATTTTGAAACCCTATTCGATAGCTTTGGTTAAAATTTTTTACTAACCTGACTATTTTGCGGCAAAAATCCGTCATTTTGTTCTTTATTTCAAAAAGCCATCTAAGGACACTTGAATTTTTGTGAGTGATAAAACAATACCTTAACTATCGAAATCCATCCAACTAGTTGGAAGATAAGAGCGCGCGAAAAACATATCCCTTACTTGTCAGTCCGGTAAAAAGAGACTGCGTTCTAAATTCATTCATATAAAGCTTATCTCTATGGCAACTTCTTTAGTAGCTATTAAATGAGCTTTTCTCGTCCGTCTCAATAAATTTCCTCGTCGGAAACACATCGATCATTAGATGAGCTGATTTGTTGTTGTTACTCACTTCTATTCAATTTATACTTGCGTTACTTATGTAGGTAGTACCTCCTTATAAACTATAATGATAGAATACAATCGATATATGGTGAACTAACATTCTACTTTAGATGCGTATGTAGGTAAGTACATACTAAAAGCGTTTACGAATCAGCGTGAACTTTTATGTATCCTGTATCAGCGCGACACGAATATTAAAAGGTTTTATAGATAAACTTAAAGCTAGACGACTATCGGACAATGAGTGATAACAATATAATCAATAGAACCACATATGTTTAGTACAACGTTCTGCTAAAATGTACTTCATCGATTATTATCACTTACTCCATATGTACGTCATTGAAGAATTCTCACCGGTGAGTTTAAGGAAAGCACCCTGAACTGTGCCATCTGACTGATGTATCATGTATAGTATGTATACCTATGATGATGTTGATCCTAATAGCATATAAGTCTTAATACACCAGACGCATAGTTGTGGTATATATAAAAAAAATCACAAACGGAAATCTTGATGGATTGATGTGCTCTTATCCATTACCAATGGGTATAAACCTATCGCTCTGTCGCGATTTCTTGGCCGTCCACTGTTTGTATATGAATTTAAAATATGTTTGTATATTTGTCACATGAATGAAAATAGAAAAAATAGTAGCTTTTATGGTTAATTTGAATTTATCCAACTATTTAAGATGCGTTCCTAAATTGTTTATTTTCAAAGATAATTTTACTCCTTAGGAGAATATGCAGCCATCGGTGTGGACGTAGATAAGTACGAACCAGAAGAAGCAGTGAGGTATCTATCCGGTCCATTGAGAAAAGAGCCTGCTCCCAGAACACTGCAAGCCTTTCGTTCATACATGGCCGTATCACCATCACCTTCACCTTCCTACCCTGTATTTGCTGCGGAGGTGAACAAACGACTGCAGATGCCGCCATTCAATTTTACTAATCCTTTGCTTGCTTTTGGAGGAGGTAAGGTGGTAAGTACCCACTATTATAATGACAAGAAAAGAAATTCATCCTCACCAATGATATTTTAAGGAAGATATGTTATATTCATAATGCACGTACAAGATATTGGTTCCGTAACACTATACATACATCTATTAATGCATTTTAGAACAAAACATACGCTACAACTGCGATAGGAAATAGGGAAAGCATTAGAGTGCAAGAGACAGCTATTTGTAATCAGTACAACGACAGTAGGCATTTTATGATTTTTTTCGAAGTAATTAGTACGTGCGCACGCTTTTTGTGGTCCTAATTAGGACCCTCACGTTTTGTGCGTCGGTGGCGTATCTACCTCTTGTATGTATATAATATCATTGATCCTTACTATACATATAGGAGAGTACTAAAAAAATTATGTTTTAATATTTTTTTATTGTAGTCATAGGGAGCAAACGAGGAGACAGGTCACCTGATGGCAAGTGACTACCGCAGCTCAATAACTCAAAAGTAACAAGTAAGTTACCGCTTTTTATGCCCCTGCCAGAAGTAGGGGGAGAGTGGGCTTGAGCCTCCGGGCACCCTTACCCATTCGGTGAAGAGCAACGAAATAATTTCTCAACACCGTTTTTCTGTGAGGCAGTGTTATCTATCCAGTCAACCCATTTCTACCGAAGCAAGACTCTCACGGTGAAAAATAAACTTATTACTTTGTCGTGTTTTATACATGCACAATTAAAGCTCCCTAGCATTAATAGTCTCGTAGCTAAGCTGCGGACTGATAGACACACCAAAATTACTCGTTTAAACGTTTCTTGTTAACACTACGGAACCCTAAGAAGCACTCTATCATTTGTTTAAAAATTCAATAGCCTAATACGAAATAATATAATAGCGAATATCGACCGAAAACAGAACAACAGCAGAGAAAAAGAAGAGATAAAGTTTTATTTAAAAGGGCAAAGTAACTACCTAACTGAAACTAAATTTGTACTACTTTAGTCAGTATGAAGCGTGCAGTATGTACTATGTAAATAAATAGCAGAACATCCGCTAAACTTGGCAGGCAGATTAATGATTGCTGTGAAATATTAGTTACTAAACAAAATAGATGCAGCTGCCATCGATCAGGAGAACACGAAAATACCGTTGCTGCAGAAAAATATAAAGCATTCTCTCTATTTTAGTTACCGAATAATTTGGACAAGCCATACCTTGCGACACTAATTGAATACGTAGATAATTCGTTACGTTAATTTGCAGCTCACTAGGATCGTATATTTAATGTGTATTATCCATTAACGCTAACACGAAAATACTCAAAAATATACACACTTTAATTTACTATAATCAAATAATATATAATATAAAAAAATATATTTAAATTTTATAATATTTCATTTGATACTACAATCAGACTTGTTAGTGTGTTATGAAGAATTCGTAAATTTTGCATTCTATGGTCACTATCTCACATTGACTTATATTACTTAAGTAATAAAATCTAAATGGGTTACCTGGTACACCAAAACTCTACCCGACTATCTGACCCTCTAAATGAGTTTTCGTTATTTGGCTGGGTTTTTAACGGCCTATTCGACCTTTAAATGAATTTTCCCAAAGTTTACACCAACTTAATGGTTTTTGAAGCCTTTAAGTACAGGAAAAAAGGCGTTTGGGTTTAATTAACTTTGATTTAATGTGAACTTAGTTGAAGTTGGCGTTAATGGTTTTAAACTTAATTTTTTTTGACATTAAAGGAACACTCAATAATAAGGACTGGAATACCTATCTGTAAATATATTTTGTAATATTATAAAATACAGTATTAAAAATCATATGATAATAAAAGGACATACGTGACGTTTAAGAGAAATTTGAAGTTCAACTTGAATATTTAAGTTGTTTTTTATGTATGTACCTTCTTTAGATGTACTGCTACGATTTGTAAAGTGGAGAGAAATTCGATCATCGTTCACAATAACACCACATTATTTGTAATGTGACCAGTTTCCTTATTAAAATCAGTTCGAACTTGTCATGATTATGTTCGTTTAACATTATGGCTAAAACACGAATTATCGATGTGGCCTTTCTATGATTGGTAGAAAGTGTCATGGGCTTTTTTACAAAAGACAAATCACTAGTTTTGCGACGTGAATATTTTTATTTACACAATGCGCTCAACGGGCCATGTGCTCTTTTGGTCTTTGAGTTTGACTTATAAATACATATGTACCAAAACAGATACCGGTGGAAGCAGCTTGGTTGCATGATGCAGTATATGTGTACACACGCGCTTTGGTTGAAGCATTGACTAGCGGTGAAGCCCCTAGGGATGGTAGAGCAATTGCAGCCCGAATGCGGAACACTACCTACCACAGCGTCATGGGGTGAGTTATAATTTTTTTGTCATATCCCACACGCGGCCGTTTGATCCCAAAACCAAAAGGAGTATGTATTACATCACCATGTATGAAAACATAATTATTATTATACTATACCACTTATATTATTATACTAGCTGTTGCCCGCGTTGATAATGTTGCTTTCTATTGGTGAAAGAATTATTAAAATCGATAAAGTGTTTAGGTGTGAAAGCGTAACAAAAAGACAAACAAACTCAGTTTCACACAATATAAAACTAATTATCCTAGAAGGCAATCAAACGTATGACCTGACTCAGCAGTCAGGATCACAAAAAACTACAGCAGTATCAGGCAAATAGATATAGTTCTTAAGTTTCGAACTTATAAACTGTTTTCAATACGATGGTAATAACAACATCCCAACAATCCAGGCAAATATTTAGTTACAACCTTATGTAACAACACCAAAACTTACATTACTTTTTTATCACAATTAAAAAGGATCTCAAGAATTTGCTGGCAGACATGAACAGTTATTGAAAATAATTAAAAATTCATTAAATAACCGAACGATCAAATTTTAGAGGCATACAGTAGCCCCAGTCAAAAGTGTGTGTTTTAGGCAATTTAGTGATTTTGAATTTAAAAATCTTATCTTAAAACTGACAAATTGACTTGAAAATAGATTTAAAAAGCTAATATCGCGACCAAGAGAGGACTGAAATAAATGAAACTACGTCTACTTAATGTTAAGGAAATGGAATGACATCACAACACCTGAAATGAAATAAAACAAATCACAACGAAAATCTAGGCCATTTCATTTAAGTCTACTAAAACTCTAATTAAGTCCAAAGTAAGGCTCTTTAAAGCTTTCACAATAGGTTTCACAAAATTTATAAATTCTAGAAAAATTGTCTTTCATTACTTCAGAAATAAAATTGTAAGCTTGAAAATTGAACAAATTAACTCGAAACGTAGTTAAGTAACGAACTATCTCCACATTCGAAGACGTGCTCCTTTTGTAGACTACAAGTTCTCTTTATTTTTTGTTCTAGGGACGAAATAGTGAGTTGCCCAGATTAGCAATCTACCTTCAACTGGATAAGTTTGGGTTTATTTTCCATCGACCTTTCTTCAGTCTATATTATGAGAGTAATTTTACATTAATCGAAAAAAAAATTGCCACAATAGTTCACAATTGACGTACCTGTTTGGTTTTTTGTATATTTTATACACTACTCGTAAAGGTATTATTATTGTTGATTTTTTTATTACAATATTTTTATACAATTGTTGTTTTATTGCATTCAATTAAAATATTTATATATAAATTTGAAATTGCAATATTCAAATTTATATAATTATTTTAATTGAATATAGTATTGCAATATAAATTTTCTAAATTTGTGACTTGATACACGGGAGTGGAAGTGTGTGTGTTTGACATTTATGGGGAAGAAGTCAAATATCGTGTAATTAATGTGTCGTAATTTATGGATGACTCCGTGGGTTCGCTTACTCTTGTAATCACGATCCATTAGTAGCTATTATACGAACATTACCAGTGAAAAGCCGGAAGATTAAGATACATATATTTTAATGTTTGCTTATAAGTTATAACGATGTTCACATTTCAAGGCAATCCTTGACTAAGGTATTATAAAGATACTAGAGTAGCGAAGTTTTTTTTACGTTCTTAATAACGAATAAAAATGAATTCCATATAGTAAAACATGGTTTTATCCTATAGAACTTTTTAGGACCAACGCAAAATCAAAAATTTAAATAGCAATAGCATAATAGCAGATAGCAAATAGATGGAATAGTTTCGAGTGCAAATCAAGCTGCTAATAAATTGCTAAAATAAATATTTTAGTGCGTTAATAAACTATAAGAGAAAGATAATAAAAAACTGCTATGACCGCTTTCCAAGCATTGGCACAGTAACTTCTTGTAAATGCTAACACGGTAGCTAACTCAGTTTCAAAACATCTTTATTTCATAAAATTGATTGAAATCTTCTTTTATGTAGAGTCTAGAGTTATAGGTCAACACACACAACAGCAACAATGTCTGTTTTGTCCAATATTTAACAAAATAAATATAATAAAAAACTTACCTATCGAAAACTTATTATATGCCTGTTCCGATGTACAATCCGCCGTTTCCAAGGGGTTGAGTCTTATGAGAACAAAGGGCAAACAAACTCTCTTTTTTATTTAACAGGTAGATACAATGGCATCATTTAATATACCACAACATTGTTTTTATGTGTCCCAGTATGTCCTTTATTAAGGACTAAAAGCTGAAAAGGCAAGCATGAGTACGAGTACTATTATTATTATATTATTCTCTCCAAACGATCAATCTAAACATTCATTCTTGTATAACCTCGATCATTTGTCATACTAATCATTTTCTTACCGTTAAATATCTTTTGCTCGAGAAACTCCAATGTTGTTTTCTCAGTACACAATATTGTCTCAAGTGAATGTCTGTAACAAGCTATCGGTGCGCATGGCCAGGTACTGGGTGCACATGGATGAGCACGGCGACGCCGAGGGCAACTACACGCTGCTGTCCATCGACCCTTCGCGCCCACCCGGTCTCTACCCCCTTGCCGTACTCCATAAGACTTCGCCGGTAATGTACACACTGTTATGTATAATATTCGAAAATAAGATTTTATGATAGAACAATTTCAGGTAAATGACGTTCTAAATTCTATGTTACTCAAATTGAACTTAAAACTTTTGGTTTCTATTATATATTACTAGCCCACCCTCGACCGATCGACCGAGTCGTTTCGGAGGAGTGCGACCACGAACACCGTGAAACAATATATTTATCCATTAGATTAGATTATCTCATGATCATCGACATCTGGGTAATAATATTTTTAATGAAAATGTACGTAACTACACACATTTTTCGTATTCTTGTACATATTCTTAAAGGGTTGTCTAGAAAGAAAGTAAGGCTTTACTGATGCAGATTTAGCATCTAGAGTTATGTGAGCTGGGTTGTACTTTCGTCATATAGCTATGGGTAAATAATATTGTGTCCAATTTTATAAATATTCTCTTAAAACGTATCGTTATCAAATATCCAAAACACGTACGCACGACGAATCCGAACGTGTCCCGACTATACGGCATCTTTTAGATAACAGTTTACGTCACATTTTGGCTTGGACGATGCACTTTGGTGCCAACCGACGCATAGTTCCAAATCTAAAGAACTAAAAGGTCCTGCAAACTGGAACATTCTGTAATCATGCTAACTCTAGATAATTTTACAAGAGAACATTATTTATACGCACCGTATTTCTAACACGTCGCATTCTTTGATCTGGCAAGAACTTACACGCATTTTGTTCCGTTTCATTATAATATACACTTGAGAAGGAGATCTATCTGTTCAAAATAATTATAATTCATTAATATCAATCTCATACAGGAAGTGAGATTTCTCCGGGACATGAACTGGCCCGGCGGTCAAGCACCTCTTTCGGAGCCACCATGCGGATTCAGAGGAGAGAAATGCGTTAGTAAGTAACTTAGCGTTAGAAATATGTTTTATTTTTGAAACAGTCAATTGTGTAAGGAACTTTCCCTTTAATGCACTACGTATGTTAGAAGCTAATACAATCAGCGTGTGTGCTGAAGCACTCTGTTACTTAAAGGTCGACAAAACGGACTCGACCATTTTGTTTACTGTCGATCTAAAAAACTAATAGGTAGTACAGCCCGGGTCGACATTAACCGCAAGGTTTGCAAGCGACAGTAAGTGGGGTGGGTCGTAAAAGCGGCGTAACGAGTTCTGGTGACAAGCAATACGAAGCAGCGAACCATCGGCCTCACGCGACACCCGCTGTGATTACACCCGCTGACAGCTCCGTCTAATGGCTTCATACCTACCCTCATATAGAGCTATAGAGCACAGTTATAGAGCCCTACCTACCATCGACGAGAAAATACATTGATGGCTTGAAAATATGTCCTCCACATTATACTATTAAGTTTAAAGTTAGCTTACAAGCGTATCGAAACACGGCACTTTAAAAAAAAAGGTCCTTAATTATATTATCTAAATAATCACAACGATGCATGATGATGAAAAAAAATGAGCTTGGGCAAATTAATTCAAGTTAAATTGAAGGACTTCCAATTGATACCCAATCTAATCAAAGCGTAATGTAGTCCATAGAAAATGTAAATATTTTTCTGGCAGAACTTCAGTCGCATTTCAATTTAGCAATTTATTGTGATACAGAACCAATCTGTTAATGAGCTACAAATGAGGGTAGCCCAGTTTTTTGTTTAATTCAATCGTTAGTGACCAACTTCAGACTTATGTGGCTTAACATTTAATGTTTTTCTACGACCTGAGCCTTGTAAGATTGCGAAAGAAATCCTTTCACACGATAAGACGGCAATTTAATACATTTTAGAAGAGCAAATAAGTTTCTGAACAGGTTTGTAATGATTCGGCAATATGCCGAAATGCCGCTATATATGATAACATTTAGATATGATTAAAAACCCGTGTGATGAAAATTGAGAATATTTAATTAATAATAACAATAGAAAATTATTTATAATTAAATAAATGAATAATTACAGTATGAAAAACTCTTAGAATCGTGACTGTCAAAAGTACTAAACAAGAACCAGCAAGGAATTTAACTCGAAGCGCTGAAACAAGCCATAAATTAAATACAAACGGTTATTAAAAACCATTAAAATTTTACGAAGCACACTGTTTACTGTTGTTAAATTAAATGGCAAATAAATATTCAATTCAATTCAAATTTTACTCTCTTCATTTATTTCATTAATATCCTAAGAGCAGCTAATACTTATCGTAGCTTGCCAAAGTAAATAACAAGTTCCAGTAGACAATAATATTGTTTAATGATTTTGAATGAAAGAGGGTGAATATCGATAACGACCTCATAAACTGAACAATTATCCCTATATAGTACATGTAGGTAGGTATTACTTTTTACATTTTTAAAGACAAAAAGGTTCTCAATTTGACAAATTTTTGTCTTGTGGTTTAACATAACGCGGTAACGTTCGCCATTATTGTTTTTAATTGAATACTGTCCTACTCGTTGTTCGAGATTTAGGTTGGTCTAATTTAAGTTTGAAGAAAACAATCTCACCATCATCATCATCAGCATCATCTTCCTACCCTTTTCCCAATTTTTTTTTGGTGTCGGTGCAATGAGTTTTCTTCTTCCATTCTTCTTGATCACTCGACATCCTCTTGCACGTAATTCTTTATTTCAGTGTGAAATGGGCTATTTTATGTTTATGGTCGGCCATTCTTGGGAATATAATCGTTCTTCATACATAGTATGAAGCGAAATATATTTGGAAATATAGAAAACCACGGCTTTTTTTGATTGTCACAGCTTCACATTCCCTTTTCTACGGGGTAGCCATTATCACATTAATATTACTTTGCCTTACACGTGGATTAAACCACACATTTAAAAAAATTCAAAATTCTTCGTCTTAACCACATTCCAAAACCTATAACTAAGTACCTAGATGTCTTAGTTTAATATTATAAGAGAAAATTGTAAGCACAGTGTTATGATAATAACACATAATTTTCCTTTCTTTTGAGACAATTGATAATTGTTTTTCGTTCATTTTCGGTTTAGGTCATATTGGAGCTTGGGCATTGGGCGCTTCAGGGGGTACATTAGCGTTACTAGCGCTAGCCGCTCTTGCCTTATACCGAGGGTGGCGGTATGAGCAAGAATTGGATTCATTACTCTGGAAAATCGACTTCCGTGAACTACACCTTCCCGACGAAGAGCAGCGAGCCAACAAACTGAGTAGGTAAACTAAATTTATAAATGTTGTTTGCATGCACGCTGTGTTTTAGTTACAATCTTACTCTACAATGTTGGAACAATTATTGTTTGTTTATTTTTATTTAACTGTTCAGATACTTATATAATATAATAGGTTAGATTGTTATTGTTCCTCGATTGTGCACACATTCTTCACTGCAAAACAATTAATAGCGCTTAACATTTTGTCCACGTTCTTTTATTGTTTCCTTAAGTACAATGTTTTATTGTGAAGATATAGGTAGGGAACTGCAAATAAATTACCCTATTACCATTCGGGAAAGACAGAGACGATGGAGCGCCATCGTCTCTGTTTGTGAGGTTCATGCTTTGGCATGAACCTCTCTCACATTCATGTGATCTGTCTTAAAAAGGAGGGATATTATAAGATTAACACGTTTTTCGTGAATGTCTGTAGCCGCATAGCTTGAAACATATAGACTGATTTTCATTTAGTTTTCTTTGGTTGAAAGACAAATTAATCCCAAGTGTTTTTAAATATGGATAATTCAAGAAAATTTATTCAGCCCTTTGAATATCTTCAGCTTTTTTTCTAATCCTTGAACGGATGACAGTAATATTCATTACTCTGATGGATTTAAAATTTATTGTAGTATGACTTCAATGATATTACAATAATAATTTTGCCAATACAACGACAACATGATACTGCGTCAATTTATACTATTTATAGATTGTTAAAAGACTTGATGCACAGCACTACATATTAACATAGTAAGGATTTTCTTTTAGAATATTCTCAACGCTGAGTTTATACTTTTCGAGTTGGTCAGAGCTGATTTTTTCCAGCAAGATAGCAGTGCGGGCGGTAACGTTAACTCCTCGACCAACGCTGTGGGCAACTCCGAGAAGAACGGTGGAGGTAGTACCGGTGGAGTACGGTCCAGTCAAGTATCGCTAAGTTCCAACCCAGATCTTGACTTCCGCTACTCGGCTATCTTCACCGAAGTTGCATTCTATCGCGGACGTCTTCTAGCTGTCAAACGAGTGCGTAGACATCATATCGATATCAACAGGGAAATAAAGAAAGAGCTTAAAATTGTGAGTAATGAATTATCATCATATAATAGTCCATTCTCATCTTGTACGCATGCAGGTTACGCACATCTTCAGTGTTCATTTCCTGTACGCATTAAATCCATAAATAGCAATCACTCACCTGGTAGGCCTCTACTTGTACTACTAACAATTGAAAAATAATGATAATATGGCGACCAATTTTGGAACACAATACTTCCCTGTAACTACATCACTATTTTATGACTTTTACAAGTTGGTTTTATGACTACTATCTACAAAGATCTTACTGAAACAAAATCCTCATAGCTTCGATTATTAATGGCGTCGTAAAAATTGTTATCAGCTCAAATACATTAAAAGTTATCGTAACGAAAGATATACACACACATATGTAATTTAGACACGTTAGACATGACTACTACATCTCTAGTCATATAAAACAGGTAATGCGAGCCTACCTACCTATAATATCTCGCAATAAGTAGACTTCATAATAAAAATGTCAATATTTGAATCCTCAGATACTCCTTCTTTTCTTTGCTTAGTATAATAATAAAAAAAACTAGTCTTTGTGTGTTTATTTTTACAAAAGCTTTGAATGAAGTTTCAACTCGGTTTGAGATATAAATGTACCTTTCAATAATTATTTGTGTGAGTCCTTTTGTGACATAGGTATATAATTTACGAACAATAGTCTTCATTGTAATTTTTATTTATTTAAGTATTTTTGGAGTCAAAAAACTAAAATTAGAAAAGCGACTGTGTGGTCTACGATCTTGCGAACCTACATATACTACATATAACTCATTACAAAGTTAGTTACCTACGTCGTAAGTATACCTAATGTTTGTAGTTTACTTTGCTCTCTCTATAAGCCAGTGTAAAACAAACGTGTCTGGTGCCGACTCGAGGGTCTACAACAAACAGCAGTCACTTTGACGAATTAACTGACTGAGACAAATCCATTTAATACATTAGGATTTATGGCCGCAGGTAAAATAGAAATGAACAGGCAGCTTTATTTAATAAATCTGTTTCACAACACTAAACAAACAGATATTGGTGACGAAAGATGAAACATAAAATTAAATGGCGTATTTTAGACAAAACTCTGCTAACATTTTATGCCTACAATCTTATTTGTTTTATTTTAATCCTAACTTTCTATTATTTACATTTATGTATAAGGACTTTACTTAGTATCTATTATGAGGTTTTTGTCTTTCATTTGTGAAGTACAAAGAAAACTTAGCCCAGATTAAGTCCAAAAAAAAAAGAAAAGCAACTAATACTGTAGGCCTATTTACTCTTTTGTAAATGTTTTAAGCTTTGTGAGAAGGAATCGAGAAAACAAGCTAACGGCCATTCTATTAATTCAATAGATAGTTATAACTATATTTAGTGAATTGTATTACAAAACTCTGTTTTGTTGTGCGCTGTTATTTTAAGTAAAAGTAAAGAAACTGATATAAGACAAACGAAAAATATAGAAAAAAAACTAAAATGAAAAACTTTAACAACGAATGAAAATAAGTAACACATAATCCGACCAGACCAGATGTAGGATATTTATTAAGACCAAAGAATACTAAGACTGATTAAACGCAACGGCAACAAATGGCAATTTAAAAAAAATTAATTTTTTTTATAACATCTATAAAAAGACGTAAGCTATCATTTCAATACTTTATTATAAGCCGTGATAAATTCAGTCGCTAGAGCAACAGCCTCCTGCGTTTTCTCGAAATTTAAAGCATTCATAACAAACAATATCAAATCGGCGTCGAACTTTTTTCAGGTGTTTCGAAGTACACTAACTTACACCTGGTTGTAGATTGTACAGTCCCTAATAGCTACACTTCAAAAAGTTTTCTTAGCTTTGTCGTAGAGAAACACTTTTACAAAAAGATTGTGATAAAATACTGACGCTCACTTGCCTGAGTGGCCTTTAGCTAAAATCTTTCGTGACGAAATACGTTATGTTTTTTTCTTACTGAATGCACAAAGTTCGCCTGAGGCATTGGGCGTATACAACACGGCCATTCTGTAACATTACTCAGAATAAATGCTTAATCATAATACCTTCAAATAGGTACTTAAAAGTTATGTCGAAATTTTAACTTCGTAATCGGCTTTACACAGAGCTCTGGTACGAAATAGAATCCTTAAGTACGCTTATTTACCGTTTGTTTTATAAACTGACACTCAGCAATACAAAATAGGTAATATCAAATAAGGTTTACAGTCTTCATAGAAGTACTGATTTTACCTATGTTCTGGACTTTCTAGTTGTGAGTCCGTAAAACAGTTCTGTTGGTGGTAACTTGTTAATATTTTGATCAAGTTGTGTTGACTTTATTTAATCAAAAATCGATGTTATTATACCGTGTTTATTGCCGAGAGTAAGTAACCACTTAATGCGAACTAAGAGTGTTCTCGTTACTTTATTTCCGTATCCAATAATAAAACAATGGGAGCTCCAACCGTGTCATTTACATTCTAAATTCCAATATTGTTAATACAATGATATCGTTGGATGTAGCGTCGAATGCAGCATGTGTAATAAAACGTGTGTCGACAGATGCGGGATTTACAACATGATAACGTGAACGGGTTCGTTGGCGCGTGTATAGAGCCGCCGAACGTATGCGCCCTATCCGAATATTGCACTAGAGGCAGTCTCAAGGTAAAAACAGAAGTAGATTCATGATATCAATTTATCAGATTTAGCATAATTTTACCATGAAATATTCTTGTTATTTGTGGGTTTCATTTATAACAGGATATTCTCGAGAATGAAGACATCAAGCTCGACAACATGTTTATCGCGTCTCTAGTTGGGGATATTATTAGAGTAAGTACTCTTACCTTCACCTTATTTACCTCTAGGTCTAATTAATTTCTTCCTAATGTTATTAATAAAACATGTTATCTTTCCAGGGCATGATATTTATTCATGAGTCACCGCTACAGTTTCACGGCGCATTGCGACCATCAAACTGTTTAGTGGATGCTCGTTGGGTAGTGAAATTAGCCGATTTTGGACTAAAAGAATTCAGAAAAGGCGAGATGCCTCCAACTGAACCAAACGCACTAAGGTCTCACATAGAAAGTAAGCCATATTAACATGCTTTATATTCAAAACTATTTATCATTTTTTCATAAATAATTAACCTAAGGTAACTAAATATGTTATCCGGATGGTGATGGATTAAGAATACGAAGTGTTTATCCCTATTTATCCCGTGGGTGACATAAAAACCGACTAAGGAAGCAAACTACGTAGGGCAACAGCACTACGCAGAGAGAAGGATAACTTGAAACAAACCCTTTTTTTTTACGTATGGAAACCCCCTCGGGCCGTCACCCCACCGGGGTTTACGGCGGGGTGGTGAGTCGGAATCAGACCGACTAAAACGACACAGTATGCCACTCTGCGCCTGTAATAGGAGGGATCCGGGAACTGCTGTTATTAAGACATCCGGACCCCTCCTAGCGCCTGCCCGCAACGGCGCGGGCACCACCTTCGGGTGCATTCTCTATTTAGAAAACGTCCGGCACACGCGGACGTCACTTCCTCGCGGCTGGCCGTTATGACGGGTGGAGGGGAAAAACCCGTCCCAACCACCCGCGGCCACACACAGGGCGGCATCAGGCGCTGATAAGCGCGCCTCCGCCGCCTGGTTCGTCGGCGGCGAATTGGGTCCGAGTGGAGGTTATCCTCCCGCGCCCCCTTCGCCGCTTCCCTCTACGAGATAATGTCTTCGCAAAAGGATGCGACCGCGGTAAAACAACTATCACTACCGGCCATGGAGCGTATGACGGCCGGTAGTGAGAGATCTCCCCCGATGACTGCAGTGAGGACCCGACGCTGCGACGCCCAAGCCGGGCAAATTGCCAGCGTATGCTGAGCCGAGTCCTTACTGCAATCGTAGCGGTGACAGGCAGGACTCAGTTCCCTCCTAGCGACAGGTACAGCGAGTGCAGGTACTGCCCGAAGCTAGCCGTGCCCGGAAAGGACCAGCACGCCACCACAGCTCACCGCCTCTTCGGTCACGGCTCTCAAGCGCAGCACAGCGTCGAACGCCCCGCTCGAAAACCGAATTGGGCGTCCGACAGATCTGGGCCCACCTCGCAGAGGTGTCGGACGATGCGGGCAGAGAGAACCCTCTCAAACAATTTACCCGCCTCGTCCAGCAACGCGATGGGCCTGTAGGCCGCGACCGAATCGGCAGGCCGTCCCGGCTTCCTCAATAGGACCAGCTTCCCGCTTTTCCAGCACTCAGGGTAACGTTCTGACTCCAAGCTGGCGTCGAACACCTCCCCGAGGCGGTCTCTCATGTGGTTGAGGTCTAAGGCCAGCACTCTGACCGGTGTCCCGTCTGGCCCAGGGGCGGTCTTCTTGGAACGGATCCCTAGAACAGCCGCCCCTACCTCCGAATCCCGGACGGGCGGAACGACATCCACGTTCTCCCCGCCTTCTCCGGCCGAGGAGGCCATCGGCGGGGATAAACAAACCCTATACCAACCCATCTAGCCAGCGTGTTATAGTAGGCCAAAACCTTCTTTCTAAGGAAAGGCCTGTGTCCAGCTGGGACTATCAAATGCTATTGATAAACTAAAAATGTTAATAATAATATCTAATATTAAAGGGAGTCATGATGTTGCCGACCTTCAGTCTAAAAATAGATTTTTTATTACTTTTTGTTGCTTTACTATTACTATTACTTCTTGTGTTTTAATGCTTTGAGTTTTAGCATGTGACCTCACGAAGCTCGTGTTCACCCCTCGCCCCTTGTCATAAAATGTGACACTTCGTTGCATTCTCCTCCTCCACTCAAACACGTGACGTAATTTATAGATAGTCCCTTATACGAGTACCAAGTACAAACAAGACTTTGTCTTTGACTTTGCAAAGTAAGACTGTGCTATGCTGTTAAACAGCTACAGTGACCTGATTACCTAAATTTGTTTTATGTATCTAATATAAAACGGTGTTAACTATTTTCAGTATTTTTTGTGAGCCAATAAAGTAAAAATAAAATAAATATAAATTATGTTTTCCAGTTTTTAGAGGTCGGTCTTTTAAAAATAAATTGGCCTTATTTGTTTAGGTTTGTTATATCTATCCCCGGAGTTGCTCCGATCAGCGGGTTGGGGGAAAGACAATACCCACACCACCGAAGATTCTCGTGAAGGTTCGCAACAATCAGATGTGTACGCATTCGCGCTCGTATTGTATGAGTTACATACACGTCGTGGGCCTTTTGGTTCAGATGCCCCGCCTACGCCAACGTTATTGCACCGTATAGCCAGTGCAGACCCAGCGCCATTCAGGTAGGTATGTTCACTCTGCAGTTGATTTGCATATTAAGATACTAAAACAAAATAACGGTCAGGATATAGAGGTAAGACAACAAATTGTATAACGCATCGTTTTTACGTTACAGAACCGATTTGTTTACGTAATTTTTAATATTAGGTACATTTTAATATTTTATTCATTCAATCGAATACCTGTAAAAGTTCCTGTAGAGTTTTATGTTACAAAGTATTGTTGCCGAAGCCAAGCGAACAACGATAGTGACTAACTTTTAGTCACTAGACGAGACAACTTAGACGAGGATTTGACGTCATGACAAAACGATGGCGGTCGAGGCTCCTGTAATGTTTTAACAAAATTTAGCTGCTGACAACCATTGGCAGTGCCAGTGGCATTTTTTTTAATTCTTTACATTATGGAATACCTGCGTAAACATCTGGTAAATAACTCAATTCTAGTAAAGCTTGGCTACAATTATTTTTATTATATCTTAAATACGTAAATGAATTTCCCCACATAAATCATTATTACTAACGGTTACAATTTAGAAAAGTTTTTCTGAAGCCTAAATATTGTTGGGGGATTTCTTAAACAAAATTTGTTTGTATTATAGGCCTCCTTTAGAAGCACTAGCTGGTCGTTTTGACTGTGTTCGTGAATGCTGCTCCGAATGTTGGGTAGAAGATGTCGTATCTCGTCCCGATTTTAAAGCAGTTCGAACTCGTTTGCGGCCACTACGTAAAGGAATGTGAGTCATTTTACCTTTACCTAAAATTAGTAGTTACAACATTGTGAATATTCCTCGTATAAGTTTTATTTTGCAATTTGTAAGTCTCTCTGTTCTTTTCAGGAAACCTAACATATTTGACAACATGATCGCTATGATGGAAAAATACGCCAATAATCTGGAAGCTCTTGTAGACGAGCGGACAGATCAACTACAGGAGGAGAAAAAGAAGACTGGTAAATCAACTCATTGTAATCCACAATTGTCAGTCATAAAACGTCTATAAAAATGGTGGGCAAATATAAAATGTATTTTTCAGAGGCTTTATTAGAGGAGATGTTACCGGCACCTGTGGCGGAGCAATTAAAGCGAGGTCGTCGGGTCATGCCAGAAAATTACGATTCTGTGACAATATATTTTAGTGATATTGTGGGCTTTACGGCAATGTCAGCTGAAAGCACTCCTTTGCAAGTAAGTATTTAGTATTATTTTTCTTCATATTCACTCTTAGTGACTCCAGTTGATTAAGCTGATAGGTGAGCGAACAATTATAAAGTGATGTATAATTTTAACTTTGATCTTATGTTAAATCAAGCGTATATTTATTTTAATTTCTTTGCAGGTTGTCGATTTTCTGAATGATCTGTATACATGTTTCGACTCAATTTTGGAGAACTTTGACGTATACAAAGTTGAAACTATAGGTGACGCTTATATGGTGGTAAGTAGCAATTTATTTATTTATTTCTTGACCCGCCACGGCTTCGCACGGTTGTAATTTAGACACTAATTTGGTGTTAGAGTGGAGTAATTAAAGATATTATTATTATGGATAGACTGTATTACACTTTTGACTGCACGGATGGCGTAGTGGTTTAAGTGGTCGCCACGCCGCTTCCTACTACGCCGAGTGTTGTGGGTTCAAACCCCACATGGGACAACACTTTGTGTGATCCACAAATTGTTGTTCTGAGTCTGGGTGTTCTTTGTGTCCGTTTCATGTATGTTTGTAAAGTCCCCCGCGACACAGGAATATGTATCCCTAATGCGGGCGTTGTCTTTTTAAAGAAAAAAAAATAAATATATCTTTATAACACAATACTAAAAGGTACGTTCCGCTCCTAATATCTTCTAAGATATTAATTTTAATGATATGCTATAAAGGGCAAATTCGATGTACATTAAATGCACAACGTATCTAAACTATTTAATTGGATAAGGAATAATTTTGTATTGTTTAAAGTAGCTTCGTAAATAACCCTTTTTCTTTAAATAATGAGTAAAGATAAAAATTGTTACTGCGCGCTTTAAACAATTCCGTAGTACATGTCTTTGATCTATCTAGTAGTATAAGGCTTAGTCAACGTTGGCGATGTAAGCGCAGAGAAACATGTTTTTTACGACATTACATTACAAAATCTTTAAAAAAAATCCTTTATACATAAACCTTCCTCTTGAATCACTCTCTATTGGTAGGTAACAACCGTATTAAAATCCGTTGAGCCGTTCAAAGATCAAACCGTGCGGGAACGAAAAGCGACTTAATTCAAAGCTATGTAAAGATTGGATGTTACTTCAGTATATTCAGTACATCTCTACAATAATCTCTATTTCCTAACAAGCACTACATTTATAAAGCTATTCAACACCTACGTGTAAGTAGCCTTCAAAAATAAAAATTTGTGATGATGATGATTTTTGACCTAATGTAAGGCCGACTAAGGGAGCGATGAAATATGAAAAAATGTAGCTTATATATTCCTCGAGGTAACGAAACCGTAGCGTGAGTTACAATTTTCGCACAGAGCCATCTAGGGAATAGTGTAGTTAACTTAAGTATCCTTGTAATAGAGTAGTACTCGTACTTTGTTGAAATTAAAAAAAAAATTGTTTATTTATTTAAAGACTAATAGCGAAATCAAGCCTAATTACATCGTCTATATTGAGAAGATGTTATCAGTTGTTAATTATAAATTTGAAAGTAAATCTGTCTCTCTGTTACGTTTCCACGGCTAAACTGCTGATTTTAATGAAATTGCATGGAGATACTTTGATTTTTGAGTAAGGACATAGGCGACTTTTTAAAGCGACAATACACGCCGGCGGAGCCGCTGGCAAAAGCTAGTTATACATATAAACCTTCCTCTTGAATAACTCTCTATTGGTAATAACCGTATTAAAATTCGTTGAGTAGTGTTAAAGATCTAAGCGTAGAGGAAAAAAAAGCGACTTCATTTTATACTATACTAGCGATCCGCCCCAGCTTCGCACGGGTGCAATGTATCTACATTACTACTAATGTGGTGTCAGTGTGGAGTAATTAATTTATGAAAGGACGACTACAGGACATCTTTAAATGCAATATTTGTAGGCCCGCTCCGATCCTGGGACCGCTGCCATCCGGGACGTACGGCTCGACGGTCGTTGGGCTCCGTATTTAATTTATTTATTTAAAACTTAATGTACATATTGTACAAAAGCGGGCTTAATGCCATGAGGCATTCTCTCTCAGTCAACCTTCAGTACTGGTAGAATTTAAAACCTCTAATATCTTCTAATATATTAATGTTAATAATATGCTGTAAGGAACAATTTTAATCTGAATGAAATGCACAACGTATCTAACGTATTTAATTGGATAAGGAATAATAATGTATTGTGTCTTCGTAAATATCCTATTATTTTTATGGAATATTTAAAAGATGAAAATGTTTACTGAGGGTTATCCTTAGGAGATAAACACATACCATAGAGGATTTTATTGTAGATCTTTTTAAGATATACAATTACGAAGTACATTATTTTGGTCTATCTCGTAAGGTTTAGCCAGCGTTTGCAATGTAAGCTCACAAAAACATGTTTTTGTCAACAAATCTTTGAAATTCTCGGATTAAAATATACATGTATTATATCCTCTTGAATCACTCTCTCTATTATTTGTTTAAAAGATCTAAGCGTACAACACAAAAAAGCGATTTTATACTATGTAAAGATAAAGATTACTCGTTATTTGAATTACTTTTTTATGTTATCATTTTGCACAAGGTATCTGGACTACCAATCAGAAATGGAATTCTGCATGCTGGTGAAGTGGCTTCGATGGCTCTGGCGCTACTGTCCGCTACGCGAGCCTTCCGGTTGAGACATCGTCCAGATCATCGGCTCATGTTGCGTGTTGGAATTCACTCTGGTATCTTCTTCATCCTCATTTTATTATTCATAGTATTTCTAACGATTCTACATATCTTCTCATATCTGTTGGAAGATGTATAATACAATAATCTGTGTATTTAAGTAGTCTTAAAAACAAATACAAGACTACCAGTATATAAAGGTATTACCGCACGAAAATAGTGGTTTGTATTGCTTTACACACCATCTTTGTTTTAGGTCCAGTTTGTGCTGGAGTGGTTGGGCTCAAGATGCCAAGGTATTGCTTATTTGGTGACACAGTAAACACTGCCAGCCGGTTCGAATCGACAGGAGCTCGTAAGTGTCTATGGTCATCATTAATTCAAAAGCAGAAACAAAGAAAGTGTTGCCATTGCGCAGAATATACCTACCTAATACCTATAAGTTTATCTTTCAGCAGTACGACAACGCTGTTAGACTGATATTCAAATCTAGTATGCAATCATAACCAGTAAATTTATATTAAGCTAATAACGTACTTGTACCCACGAGATACTATAGGTATACTCAAAAAGATTAGGATATCAATGCTAATAAGTAGTATATTAAACTAAATTCACTATCAGTTAAAATTATTGTTATCTTCAAACCTTTAAGAAAAGAGCGTACTGCATCTTAATCTTCATCTCTGCACGTTCATGGGCGGCGATGGTCACTTTCCATCAGGTGACCCGTCTGCTCGTCTGCCCCCTCTAACATAAAAAAAAACCATGCACCGAACAAGCACACCTTAATCAGTAACTGAACTGAACTGTCTACTCGTCCTACTGTCGTAGTCCGTCGTACTTATTAACCTCATAAAACATTTTTATTACAAAAAGAATTAGTAAAGCAAGAAAGGAAGTTAACTTTATAATTGACAAGGATCAGATCAGATTATTTTTTTCCAGCATTGAAAATCCACTGCAGCTCTGCATGCAAGATATTACTGGATCAACTGGGAGGCTATATCCTAGAAGAGCGTGGTATCGTGTCTATGAAAGGTAAGCGGGACCAAGTGACGTACTGGCTGCGCGGGGAGGAGCCGACCGCTGCTGCTGCGAGAGCGCGCCGCAGACAGGCGAGAGATGCAGCGCCTACGCACCCCGACAAAAGAGGACAGCGGAGTTCCCTCAAGACGAAAAATTGGAAAAACCAAGTCGGTGGACTGCACAGGTAAAAACCTGCACCTTCAAAAAAGTGACAAATTTGTTAAAATGTGAACTTAATAAGCAAACAAGTATTGCAATGACTTATTATTAAATCTTTCTCATTAAGTAGTACGAATAATATATCTTTATGTACATATAAATCACCTATTGGTCGGGTATACATAACACCCTAAAATGTGACTACACTTTTATGTAATAGTCTGTGTAAAAAGTAGTCTTACAACACGCCGTTGTCCGCCTGATGGCTAATATTTAAGCAAGCATTCTCTCAAACAGTCTCTCTTGCATTTCGACAAAGCTCTGTGAAACTCTGGCAATGCTTCCCACGTCCAAACACAGTCGTCAATAATCAACAAGTCCAACTTCCTTAACTATTTAGATTATGTACTAAATGTCAAAGAAGCCTTTCTATAGGTGAGTGGTTACTAGCGCCTATAAAGGGCTAGCTCATTTACTAGGAACGCCTACTTGAAGCCATACTGATGAGCCCACATACAATATGAAGTATTGTTTGATCGCGATTTGTGTAAAAGTTTTAAGTATTATCATACTGTTACAGATGTTGCAGTTTAGAATCACCAAAAAAACTGCGTTTTGCTTCTGGAAATCATTTAGAGTCGCATACGGATGGTGTTTTGCATCACCGCAGTGATGAATACCTCATGGAAGTAAGTATTGCAATCATGTATTGTGTATTAAAAATTTCGTGCGTAGCTAAGTGTGAAAGCTTAACATACAAATATACTTTTGTATTTATATCATGAAGTGTATTTAATAATAATAATAACACACATCTCACACACGGCTGTCTGATCCCAAACTAGGCAGAGCCTGTACTATGGTAACCAGACTGCTGATAAACATACTTATATATTTCTAAATACATACATTGTATAGATAAATGACAAGACACAGAACTAATGACCGTGCTCATCCCACAATATTTGTCCTGGGTGGGAATCGAACCCACGACCTGCGGTTTAGCAGTCAGGGTCACTAAGCACTAGTCCAACAGGCCCGTATATTAATCTATAGTATTAACACTAACACGATTTGTTTCATAATAGGTCGTTGGTGAAGGTCGGCTCGCGCCTACTCAACGCTCTGATTTACTGGAGGCACCCAGTCTTCGACAAGAATACACGAGCGTTTCGTGTCCCATCATAGAACACACAGAAAATAACCCGCCGCCTCCCCCTCCAGCTACAGACATACCGCTCCTCCCAATAGATACCAAACAATGTGATATTAAACTCGTCATCAACGGTTGCTCGTATAATGAAAGGGACGGTGCTGTAATACCGTTGCTTGCGGACGTGTAATGCATTTTGTACTTACCATGTAAAACTAGTCAAACAGCGATAAACTGTTGCGGCTGTCAAACATAGCTATAGTATCGGTCGTAGCGGTGAGTCGTATCAATAATGAGCGCTAGCGGGAAATATATTCAAAATATTACATACAAACCGCTAGTAGCTCAGACACAACCGCGTTCTGTCCGCTTTTTGAATGACACTAATGTAATAATGTGATCTACGTCAGTATTATTAAGAAACATCGTTCAATAGAAATTATTTAATAACATTAAACTTATTTCACAATTGACGGTAACATCGTTTTACTTACACATATTATTTACAACACCATTTCATATACACATACTATATAATGTAACATATTCTCGTACGTCGGAAGCTAGTATATTATCGGACGCGATCAGACGGCTGACTCGCGATCGAGGAGGGGCGGAGCGCGGCGCAGGGACGACGAGCTGCCGCGGGGAGCGCCGAAGATGCCGAGCAGCCAGGGGATCGTGAACCGCGGGGTCTTGCGCTCGCCCTTGCCCTCGGCTACGTTCTGCAGCGACCGCCATCTCTTGTAGAATTCGATGTAGCTAGCTTCGGGGGCCTTTCGCCGCGTTCGGTCCATTTTGGTAGACAAGCTCGTTTTGCGCAGCAGAGGGCTGTCCTCGTCGCGCGGCGGATCGTCCGTCACGATGCCGATGATGGTGCCGTTGAAGACGGGGTCGCTGCACACCGTGGCGACGGCCACGTCGGCGTCGAGCGAGCGCGTGGTGTGCTGGCGCCGCACGAGCGCGTCGCGCCGCGCCGGCGGCAGCACGTCCAGCGAGTGCGCGCACCGCAGCCCCGAGCACCGCACGCCCGTCCACCGTATCGCTTCGCTGTCGCTGTCCGCGTCGTTCTCGCACGCCGTAGAGGACGCTATCGAGCTCAGTGCGTGCCTGGATAGAGTTACCTCTTAATTAATATCTATTCTATTTTTCATTTATACTTTGACATGAAATAAAATTATTTATATTTGGCGAACTGATAAAGGCTTGAAACGCAAAATACAAGTATACTTTAGTAGATTTAAGTAAATAAGTAATTACCTGGGCCTGGTGTCGGGTCGCGAGCGGCGGGCGGCGTGGGGCGAGTGCGCGGTGTTGGTGGCGGGCAGCGAGCAGCGCGAGCCGCGCGTGCCCTCCGCCTCGCCCGCGCGCGCCGCGCTCGACAGCCGCTGGCGGACACCACCTGCGCAACCACACTTACTTACTTTCTTTACTTACTTATACTATACTAGCTGTCGCCCACGGCTCCACCTGCTCGTATGAACGATATGAATGTAATTTATAGTTTTAACACTCGAGGATAATAGAGCTTCATCTTAGTGAAAATTAAATTTTCCAGAAATGGTTCAGAAGTTTCAAAGTTACCTTCATACAAACAAATCTTACTTTCTTAGAATAGATTTGTATTTATACAATGTAATAGGTCAAGCCAAAAAGAAAGTTACGTAAAGCAAAAATATCATAACTACAATCAAAACAATTCAACTATTAATCCGTAGTACTTCTGCACCAGACTAATCTCTTAATACATTTACAAATTTCATATGTAAATAATGCAATGTTGAGGTACAAGTAATTATATAATCTTATACCTAATAAATGAATTGATTGTGTGACTGATTTGTGTGACAACTTTCATAACGAAATATATCTGATTACGAACCTGATAGCGAAGGATGTCTGGAGTCGGCCAGGCGTGGACTTCGTCTAGGACGACGAAATAGTGGACGTTCCTCACCCTCGACAGGTCTTTTCTGGATAGCTTTCTCTGTGGCGCTGACTAGCCAATAAGTCTGAACCTATAAGTAAAGGTTTTGGTTGCAAAAACGGTACTATATTTAATTATAGTTATATATTTTAAGTTTAATTTTAGGTACTTATTTAGTGTCGAAGCCGAAAATCGATCGAAGTGGCGTGAAATGGGCCTGTGTCCAGCAGTTACCTGCGATAAGCTGATGATGATGATGATTTACAGTAACAGCTTCTCATGGTTAAGCGTAAAGTTTTTAACAGGGATTGTTAGCAACAGTTACTAAACAATTGCTACATGGATGATGAATAAAAATTAATATTGGATTAATAAAGGAAAAACAGTATATTACACACTTGTTACACACTTGTTACAATACTTGTATTGCGGTAAAAACAAATATATTCCACACATACATAGTATTGTTATCAACTAGATGCCTGTCGACTTCATTTTGTCCAAAGTTATTGGCCTGTGGTTTTTAAGAGAAGCGAAAATTTTAAAATTAGAAACTGCATAGAGATAATAATATTATTTTCTTTAATAACACACGGACTTTTTTCTCTGTACTTTATTTTGGGCAGGCATAGATTGATATCCATACAGCCTAATCAACTTGAAAGCATTCCAAAGATAAAAAATGTGTTGTTTTCCTCGCAATTTTGTCGTTTTTTCCCTCTCCATTTCTCTAGCTTTAACGAAAATATAACGACAATTTTTATTTATATAGATAGTCTCATTTTAAATGCTGAATATATTTCTCTTGTTTTATTACATGTAAATATAATTATTATATTTGCAAAACTCCGTCGGGTGTTAGACGATAACACGTACCTGTCCCTTCCCTTTAATTGGAATAGTCCCTCTCGGTTCAACAACATATCCTCCGATTTTATCAAGCGCTTGTTTGCAACTAGGCGATATGTGTATTTTGAGTGGTTCGCCATTAGATTCCATTCGAGATGCGGTGTTGACTGTATCGCCAAATAAACAGTAGCGTGGCATTGTGAGACCAACTACGCCTGCCACAACAGCGCCTGAAATAAGATAAATAAATATATATAACCCATTTTTCGGTAATACTGAGGTCCCCACACAGCATAGCATACAAATACTGATAACTATAACAATATATTTCATTTAACATAACATACTTTTGCGTTATCGAAAAATCTTTGTGTTTTCTGTCGTGCAAAGTAAACACAGGCAGACTTCCTTGCCCATTTATTTATGAATTCAAAATTTTAGTTTTTTTAAACTTTGACTTTGATACTACAATTGCGCTCTTAGATGTCATGAACAGTGAAATGAGCACTTTCGACCGAAGAGGCCCCCTCCCCTTTGCCTACTTCTGGGGGGGGGGGCTCAAAGGGCCACAACATAATAGTGCAAAAGAAAGTTCTAAATAGCTTCCAACACTAGTACGGCTCGGGTCGGAGACGGGACGTGAGCAATTGTAATGTCTACTACAGTAGTTCAACTCTCGTCGCGTCCACGTCCTGCCCCGCCTGCTACCTGACCTAACCTGCAAGGACCAACAGTTACGCAAATGGAGTAAGAATAACGAAAAGTCTTGTAAATAACTAATGTAACATAATTAACTACGGATACGAATAAAAATACGGATTGTCACCACCCTTATTCATCCCGTGGGTGTCTTAACAGTCGACTAAGGGAGCAAACTATGCACGACAATAGCACTACAAATAGAAGAAAAACTTGGAAATAAACCCTATACCAACCCGTCTGGCCCGAGTGATACAGTAGGCCAAAACCTCCTTTCTGAGGAGAGGCCTATGTTCAGCAGTGGACTATTATAGGCTGTTGATCATTGAAGTTGATAAATTAACAAAAAAATTGCAGTTGTAAATAAAAAGAAAATAACTTACCGGTATGAATTCCTATCCTAAGTTTGAGTGTTTCATTTGGTCTATGTGATATTTTGTGACTTTTAACAGCATTTAATAGTTCCAATGCCATAGATGCAATTTCACCCACGTGTCTATCATTATTTCTTATGGGTAGACCAGAAACCTGTAAAACAATCATCATTTGATTCGACCATCTAATTTAAAGAAAGCTATTATAGTAAGTTTGGAACCCGATTAGTCAGGGTGCATGGCTTGACCGATACTTTACTATTTTCTATATATATTTTAATTGACTATAGTTTTACTATTTTTTTAAAATCAAGTGTTGCAATTGTCATACTGAACATTGAAGCAAGTTTCCTACAGTCGTTTAATACCATATGTTGGATATGTGACCATTATGGGTGATACAAGCACACATCGCCAATGGCAAAACGAATATCAGTGTCCTTAGTATCATAAGTGGTCACTAGTATTGTACATCTGTAATTGAGAAGCATACAAATTGATGCCTTCTTAAATATTAGTAGAATAATTATCTTAAAAAACTATCACCAACTGCAATGCACCTTCGTCACCACCAGCACCACAACCACATTTTTCACCCTTGTGGGCGATAGTTTTTCCTTAAATTTGAATGGGATCAAAAGAGATACATGATCCCAAACTAAAAAAATAGGATTTTGCAAATTGGTTTGTAGATTATGAAGTTCTGAGATAACAATTAAAAAAAAATACAAACGATATTAGGACCTTCTTTTTTGAAGTCAAGAAGTAAATTTTAAATTCGTTTATTTACAAATGAATCTATTTACTCGTAAGTAATCATTAGCTCTGGTGTACGTGTAAACATTAAAGAAAATATTTTTACATACCACCATATAAGCGTCTCCAATAGTCTCCACTTTATAAACGTCGTAGCCCCTAATTATCCTATCAAACACAGTGTACAAGTCGTTGAGAAAGTTAACGACTTGAAAGGGAGTACTCTCGGCTGACATAGCAGTAAACCCAACGATATCACTGAAATAAATGGTCACAGAGTCGAATGACTCCGGCTCTACGCCTTCACCGGTCGTCAGACGTCTAGCCACCGACCTAAAACAAGGGTGACTTTTGTAACTAGGTATTAGTTTTAGAACCTATCGACCAAAAATCGATAGTCCTTATGAAAGCTTATATTATAACTAGTATTATTCATATTAGCATATAGTTTCAACAGCCATTTTTATAACTAAATAGATTTGCAAAACATGCTGATTGAAATTATACTGCCTACGTAAATAACAAATATTTATATACAAAAAAATAAGTGGATAGATTCAGTAACGTCCAATCAGATAAGCAGAACGTATGCTAAATATTTTATACTTATCATAAAGAAGTCTATATAATATAAAATAAATAAAAATGTATCTACTGGTTGAGTTATGAATGAGGCAGTTCTTTTAAACAGTGCACTGTTATTTTGTATTGTTCATATATTTATATAAAACATTTTCGATGATTTTCATTAAAAAAATGTATCTTAAAATAAAACCATACCAAAATAGAGATCTGAATAATTTAAGGTCAAAAATTGTTATCATGGAACACGTATTTAAAAAGTAATATTGTGCAAAACCTAGCCATCATAGAAAAAAAGGATACTGTTTAAGAGAATTACATTATACTTACACTATAAAATTTACATACAGTTCAAAAATCTACACTGTCTAAGCATGCTAGTATATTTATAAAATGAATTATAAAAAGTGCAGTGTAATTACAAAAGAATCTTCGTGCCCCAACACGGTAGTTGACCGAGAGAATCTCTACGAAAGTCACTTGCAAGCTATAAAAAAAGTTAATCTAGTTGAAGAAATTGCCATCACCGCCAACGTTGTCACGCTACACCACCACAGAATCCCAAGCAAGCTCTACATCTACTCAAACTGTGTTAATGAAAAAGATGAGCCAAGTTCACAATATTTCAGTACAGTTGAATGCACGTGATGTGACTCGGCACCTCTGAGGCAAACCAGGTTAAACTACAATCACCAATAGGGAGTTAATTACCTCAAGACATTTTCACGACATTTCTATAATGGGATTCAACCTCCACATCTGGAAAAGAACACAAGTACAACAAAGTGAATATTATATTTTTTTAGATGTCGTACCACTGTTTTACATCAAGTCCAGGTCGATGTTCCAACAATATTTTTTGTTTAAAGTAAAATAGTTACATTATTTATACATATTTGTAGGTCAGTAACACCTAACCTTCAAAATATTTTATATGTATATTCGATACAGGACGACCTTTTACGGTTCATTCGTTTTATTGACGCTACATTTTAAAATCTCATAGGCACCGACATCAAATATATATGAAAAAGCAACAAACTCATGGTGTACTATATTTGTAGTGATGATATATGCATAGCTTTATTCATAGATCCTTTATTACTATCCCTGATTAATTAACGTAGTGCAACTTCTGTCAAAAGATTTCCTTGGATCTAAGTAAGAAGGTGCACATGTATATGTTAAAGACTGTTTATATATTCTCCATCCATATCCATCCCTAGTCGAGCTCAAAAAACTTATCAATGATGCAGTACAGACAAAATTGACATTACTATGTTACAAAATGTATAGAATGATCTCGAATTTTGTCTGGATGTCTATCACCAAAGGGTAATCTTTCGTAGTGTATAATATGTAAGTTGGCGACTTCGTGCTTTTTGTTCATATATATATTGTTTTTTTTTTTAACTTTTTAAGAATATAACCAACAAAATAATTTAATTAAACCTTAAAAAGCACAATTAAAATTTGTTTAAAAAATACATATTACTGAAAAATTAAACATATTTTGTTTTGTTAGTCTAATTAGAGTCAACTTTTTAATCACAAACTCCTACAAAAATAAATTAAGGGAAAACTTGAAAAATAATTAAATACGAAAGAGTCGTTTGCAGACACAGCAAGAGCTACTTCAGTTCTGGCTACATCATCAACTTCTTTAGGTAACTATTGGTTTTTATACACAGTGGTATTTAGCCAAGTACTTTCAGTTCCCGTTAGTTAATTTCAGTAGAGCTTGATACACAGCTGTTTTTTGTCTTCCCTGTTAGCTGGACGTAATCTGTTATATAGATGACATTCGCCAAAGTAGGGTTAGCTCAAAAATCATATTTTTATAGCCTTCGTTGTGGGACATCAACTTGTGCTCTCCAGGAGGAATGCGCTCACAGCACTACATGCAGCAATTCGTGGCAAAATATCTGGTAATAAGTTAAGACGATATCTAGCAGCTTGGCACATTGATAAATGTACCTTTTTTTTTTTTAAATCCATAATTTGATCGTCCAGAGTAAGGAATTAATTTTGAAACGGCTTGGTTGCATTTAGAGTCAAACAGCTATTCCTAGGTAAAACTGGCAAATACGAATCAGTGTCGTGAGTACAAGTTTAACCTTTTTAAATACTTTTCTAAAAGTACAAACATGTGTCATTAAGTCATACGTATGTGTCATGTGTATTAACTTAATTTTATTTTTGTTATTTGTTTTTTTTAAAGAAACAATATTTGTGGACGGCTGTCTACCTATTACGGTATATGAGACAGACAGCTGACAGACAAAGGGACGGATAGCAGAGGTTTAGTGACAGAGTACCAATGACATCCTTATTATACATATTACATTAATATAGTGATGATCAGACTTGGACCAAATGTAAACCAGTAAGCACACGAATGAGACTCCAGGCATGTGATACAGCTTGTTGTATTTGCGTCTTCCTTAACTGTGCTCACATTTATATTAATAACACCGACACGAAACCTTCGAATTAGTAATTACAATTAGATATTACACAAGTCTTATATTTTACCATTAAGGGTACACAGAATATTAATAACATGTACATGCACATATTTTAAATGGGCTCCAACTAATACTTGGCCTACTTGGAACTAAAATATTGAACAGCAGTTGCACGATAAATCATCAAATATGAATTGATGTAATAACGATTACATTATATACACCCATTATTTACTAGAAAAAGAATTTAAAGAATATGGCTTACTTTGGTAGCATTCTGTGAAGTAAGTCTTCGGTCTTTTGTTTCTCCTCGATCAATAGCCTCGTTCTCTCGTTGACTAGTTCTTCTAAGTTATTTGCATACTTCTCCATCATATCCATCATTTGGTCCATTATGTTTCTTGATCTGAAATCAATAACAATAATTAGTACTAGAGGACCTGACCGTCATCCGTGTGGTGACGGATTAAGAATATGGAGTGTCACCACATCTAATCATCCCGTAGGTGAGCCGACTAAAGGAGCAAACTACACAGGACAACGGCATTGCAAGGAGAATGAAAACCCTATACCAAACCAACTCGTCTGGCCAGTGTGGTATAGTGGGCAAAACCTCTTTTCTAAGGAGAGGACTATGTCCAACAGTGAACTACTAATGCTGTTGATGATGATGATGAATGAAATAATAGTTACAGATAAATAACAAATATGTCTACTCACTTTCCAGATTTCATTTTCTTAAGTCGACTTCTAATAATAGGAAAATCAGGTCTTAGGTTTGGGTCCTCAGCCCAGCAGTCTTTCATGCAGGACACTATGAAGTCTTCTGCGTCTATTAAACTGGTGTCGGGCCGAAACAGATCCTCTCCATCTTGCTTTGGTCTCTTCAGTCGCTCGATTATATCTACAATATCAACATTATAATATTTATTACGGACCGAAGGCTGCTTACAAATCTGCGATGCTACTAAGCTCTTCGGCCACCTTCGAATAAGAACAATAATTCTTCTTTCGAAACTGGTTTTGATAAAAGAAACATTATTCTTTTGTTGAAACGAGTTTCGAAAAGAAGAAATATTATTTTTATTCCAAAACTGGTTTCGAAACTTGGTTTCGTAAGCTGCCAAAAGGCTACAAAGTTACGATTGACTACTTTCCGTGAGACAATATACGAGGGCGGGTCAATAAGTCCGTGACTTTTTGAATTTCTGACCTCTTTACTGAAAAAGCAGTTAGTTTGTGTTTGACAGCTATCTTTATCAGACTACCCAGTAATTTGAGGAAAAAATGGAAAAAAGTGAATTTCATGTGCTTATTAAGCATTATTTTTTGCGAAAAAAAATCATTACCGAAACCAATGCTAAGCTTGATAAATACTATGGGGACCCTGCACCATCGATTTCAATGGTAGAAAAGTGGTTTACTGAATTTCGTTGTGGCCGTACAAGCACTGAAGATGCCGAACGTCCTGGACGCCCAGATGAGGTCTCTTCACCCGAAACAATCGAAAAAATTCACGATATGGTGTTGGCCGACCGAAGATTGAAAGTGCAAGAAATTGTGGAAGCCGTAGGGATCTCGCATGGCTCAGTGGTTTAAATTTTGAATGATCACTTGGGCATGAGAAAGCTTTCCGCAAGATGGGTGCCGCGATTGCTCACAGTCGACCACAAACGCAATCGTGTAATAACTTCACAGGAAGGTTTGGCGTTGTTTAATCGCAATATGGAGGAGTTTTTGCACCGTTTTGTAACCGTGGACGAAACATGGATCCATCACAACACACCAGAGACCAAACAACAGTCAAAACAGTGGGTTTCTAAGGGTGAATCGGCGCCAAAAAAGGCCAAGATGGGTTTGTCAGCTAATAAAGTTATGGCGACTGTCTTTCGGGATGCACGCGGGATAATCCACATTGACTACCTTCAAAAGGGAAGAACAATCAATGGGGAATTATTATGCCAACTTATTGGACCGATTCAATGACGATTTGAAAAAAAACCGACCTCATTTGGCCAAGAAAAAAGTTATTTTCCACCAAGACAATGCAAGGGTGCACACATGTGCAGTTGCCATGGCAAAAATCCATGAATTGGGCTATGAATTGCTCCCTCATCCGCCCTATTCTCCAGATTTGGCTCCGAGTGACTACTTCTTGTTCCCAAACCTGAAGAAATAGCTTGGTGGAAAAAGATTTGACTCCAATGATGAAGTCATCTCGCAAACAAAGGCCTATTTTGAGGACCTCGACAAATCATATTTTTTGGAAGGGATAAAAAAATTGGAGAAGCTTTGGACAAAGTGTATAGAGCTCAAGGGAGACTACGTTGAAAAATAAAATGATTTACTTATCAAAAAATCAGTGTTTTATTCCAAAAGTCACGGACTTATTGACCCGCCCTCGTATTTTATTCCCAAATTAGCATTAAAAAAACTAATTTATAATGCCTGTAATTATATAACGGAAACATAACAATTATAACAAAGCATTTAACAAGACAGATTAAATAGATAATATTGTACAAAATCAGTAACATTTTTTGTAACATTTTTCATAGAAATGAAAGTCTTGCAAGGGCTCATAATCTTTTTGAAAAGAGAAACTCTAGCAGGCTAGAAATATATCACACCGAAATCATAAAATAATATATGCAGTTGTTCCTTCTGAAAAGCAATTGGATCATTAAATAGACATGCTATTCATGAACTGACGTTCTAAATTAGCTCAAAATCTGTGTTCTCCAATAAGGAAGATCCAAATGTAAAATATGAAGATTTCGTTAATAAACTGTTGGCATATTTACAAGTGCTCAACTGTTTGTCCAAAAAGTTGGCACAAGCATGGATGAACACGGCTTTATTGTCAGCACCTGGTGTTGGTGGGTGATCAAGATAATCTATTCTAAATACATAGTTTATAGTGCCTCGTGTCCTCTTTTAAAAAATCTAAATCAAATAACCATGAAAAAAAAACATTAACAAAGATATTTTACCCTTAGGTTCAGTCCCAGTCATACCAAAAGGTCCTCTTCTAGCTATTATTTCGTAAAGAATGATTCCGAATGCGTAGACATCGCCTTTTTGCGTGCCACATACTGTGCCATTGGGGATGTCCATCTCCCTCAACAGTTCTGGTGCTTTCCACAATAACCCTATAAATAATACATTACATGAATATATTTCACAGTGATTATATCAACGGTGTCTTGTACATAAAAAAATTCTTAATTTTGTCATTATTTCTAGGTTTAAGTATTGTGAACCCCTTCCTTTCTTTGAAGGCAGTAAAAAAAATTACCTCTATAGTATTGATGTTCTCCTATAAAATCGTTTTCGGCACAGGCTCTTAGTTCGTGCAGACCGAAATCAGCAACCTGTAATGACAAATACATGATGAATTGAATAATTGCACAAATCATTAGCCAGTGCTAGTGTTTACTATACAGGATCAGTGCGGCAGTGACGTAAATCCATGCTAATATTATAAATGCGAAAGTAGCTCTGTGTCTGTTACGCTTTCACGGCTAAACCGCTAAAACAATTTGACATTTACAATTGGACAATTTGAGATTTAAAACATTTGAGATACTTTGATTCTTGAAGAAGGACGACTGCTTTTTATCGCGACCGAATATTATAACCGACATACACTCGGCGAGGCCAATAGGGAATATGCACGTGACACCAAAATGGACAAAATATTTTTATTTGTAATTTTTATTGCTAAAAAAAGATACCCATACAATTATTTTTGAAATTTATTATAATTTAATAGTCAAATTTAATAATCAAAATTGTCTTTTTAAAGATTCCCTCGCAAATTTCTAAAACGCAACGCTATTGGTTGAATAAAACGTGACGTCAACCTACACTGTCAAGAGTGTCAACAAGTTGTGTGTATATGTAATATTTGGTTTCTGGTGATTATTTGTTTCATTTTAAGTTAATAACTAATACGTTTTCAGTGTTAAATTATTAAATTCCCGTGTAGAAAGACTCAACACAATGACTGAATATACTCTGTCAGGTGCAGTTTTGATATTATTAGGGCACAAAGGAACGGCACAATATTTATAATATATTTTTATTGGTTTGCCATGGTAATAAGTTAATTTTTATCACTCACTTTTTTAACTTTCAGAAACTTTGTTAACTGCACTCCGTTGTTGACATCGAATTCGTCTGAAAGTGTAATCTGACGTCACAATAAAAGCGCGCCAAAATGGACGTGTTCAAATTGCCCCAAAATCATAGTGATTTTAATAAATTTTTTTTTGCTTAACGGTTTATATTTCGGATGTGTTATATTTATTTTTGGTAATGTAATAACTAGTAGAATCGTTAAAAAAAATATAAAAAATACATGCATATTCCCTATTGCAGAAGCTAGTTTTTAATATATATTAATTAACTTCTTTGCAAACGTACCTGTAGCATCCATCTTGACGTGACTACACAATTAGAAGACTTCAGATTTCCATGAAAAATTAAGGGCGACGTGTGAATAAATATCATACCCTGTAAATAACACAAGCGTATTAACACATTACTTTTAACGAATTTTACTATTTATTTGTTTAGTATTAGTATATGAATATAAATCATCGTACCTTTATGAGATCATGAATTAATGAGGATATGAACATTTTATCCAACTTAATGTCTTCATTCTCAATTATATCCTGCAATAAAAAGAGTTCAAATGTTAGTAATAGTCTAATGCATTAGTCTAGTGCATTTGCACATTAAATATGTTGGAACACTGCTTTCTGGGTCCCCTTCCTGCAAAAACGAAATTGCACCAAAATTGTATGTTTGTATTTAATAATAATAATATTTTATTATGAGAGTATTGTGAGTCTGTTCATTACCTTTTCACAACAATTGTCTTAATTACTTCAAGTGCAACTGTTCAATACACAATAGTGAATTGATTAGCAAAATATATAGTAACAAGAGAGCCCTGAGAGGAACTATGTAGTTCCATATATAGAACAGCAAGAAGAACGCAGTTAAACTGCACCATTAAAACTGTCTTATGAATCACCTTCACCCTTATCGTCGAAGAACATCTGGTTAATTCACCGCCTCGCATTCAGACATGTTTAGGGAAAGTCCCTAATTAGTAGACTTAATCGACCAGGAATCACTGACCTACATTTTGCAGGACTACAAAGTGTGTTTTGAATTCAACAATGCCTAGTAGGTATATTTTGACTGCTCAGATCGAGTAGGTACTCTGTTCAGTCTGTTCACTAAAATGTTTCAATAGCACTTACATATAAACTGCCTTTGGCACAATAGTCCGTCAGTATGAGCACGCGCAACGGCTCTACGACAGCACCTATGAAAGAGTTTAGGTTGTCGTGACGTAGTTCCCGCAATAACCTCATTTCTTTCATTATCTCTCGTGGAATGTCCTGAAAAACAAACAATGAAATTTAATGTGCACGTATATTTCGGTGACGTACCAGAAATTACTTAGTATCCGAAATAGATACTAAATATTATTTAATATTTTTTAAATCTTTATTTTTGCTCACTTTGCTCACGCTAGTACCTCTTAATAATAATATTTGATAAGGAGCATTCAAACTGGCCTTAAATGGTTCCCGAATAATATACAACAACATTGACTTACTTTCTTCTTTGAGAACTTGAGTTCCTTAATTCTAACAACATTTCCTCTGTACTGCGCTGTCGTAGTGAATATCTGCGTGCAGCACTTACTCTCGCCTGAAATGCCACTCGCCAAACTTAACTGCAACATACACATCAGTTCTAAGAACCAGTTGTTTATTAAATGCAAACAATTAAATAGCACATAAAGACTTCACTTTTACACAAAAGCTAGCGCTTGCCTGCGCGTTTATTTCTGGTAAGGGGTTACCTTACTAGGCGACCACACGAGACCACTGCCCAAATAACCGGCTATTTCCTGTGTATCAATCTTCCAGAGTAGACCTTCGATCTCTTGCTCGATCTTCCACTTGCGGTATATACTGATGGTGACGACGAGAGCGCAAAATAATGTGACAGCTAATGTCCCCGCCACTACTAAGGATGTAACTTGCGAATCGTCTTTCGGACACTTTTCATTTAGAAACCCGCAGGAGGGCTCGTCCTCTGGTTTTACGGAGTCCGGCCAGTCGATTGAGCTACCATGGTTCACTTTATATTCCTGAAACAAATAACAGTTCATAAGAAGGATACATACAAAAAATATCGACGTTTTCTAATATCTTTTCTAATATTGTATACGACAGGAGAATTCTTTGCACGCGTCTTGTGTATGTTTTGCATACTTATTGTTTATACAAAGAAGTGCAGTAAAATCAACTTTTTAAATATGGTGATTTTTATAATAACGCCTACACAAAGTTATAGGTTACTTGATTATGAACTCTGTTGTATGGCATGTGTCACTTACAAACTAAAAAAAAAAATTGTCCATCTTTTTTAATAGTAAAAAAGACAACTCCCGCATTAGGAATATATCCTGTGTCGCGGGAGACTTTACAAACATACATGAAACGAACATTTCTCTAACTACAGTTCCAATGCAGTAATGTTTGTGTGGTTGCTTGCAGCCACAAAGATTTCTTGAATTTTTTCTATAATAGTATGTTCAAATCTAGTATAATACAATGCATGACAGTTACTCATCTATAAAATAAAATCACGTCAGTACACTTTAATTACAAGGTACTTCCTAGTAATCAAACGGACTAAAGTATATAGATATAAGCCTCGCTTTATAAGTTTAAGAGATTTGTCTGCCTAAAAACTAGAAGTAGAATTATGGACCAAAATTAGCCCAAATGATTAGTGTCAAGTTTAAGGCACACAAAAGGAGGTCAACTCACAGGAAACTCCCTATTACTCTGCAGGAAGTGGCCGACAGGTATCATACTAGATGCGCAGTGGACGAGCCCGTCTCGGTATGTCGTCGGTTTGAATGCCAACACCGAAAAGTTGCCCTCGGAATCAGCATTCTCATCGAGACGTATAGACATACCAGATATGCCTGAAAATTATTAGTAATCAATACAAGTGCATTCTTTTTAAATATAGAATTACTAGTTCGATGTACCATAAAATTTTGGAGTATATTTTTACAATTATTTAGTAAAAAAATTGTTATTTCTATATAATATTAAATAATTACTAATTAATGTTTATTTCCTCTTTTGGGGTCTGTGTTTTAATGTATATAGATGTCCTTTGGTGTTAAAAATATTTATGTATGTTTGTAAATCCTAAACAGTAGGACATAATTGTGAAGTTGTATTTTGATTTTCATTCGTAAACAAGCGGATTTTTTATATTGTTACATTTACATTAAATAAACAGGTAAACAACAGATTTTTAATTAAAAAACCGGCTTTTTACTATTAAAAAATCCGGTATCGAAATAAAAAAAAACGATTTTTAACTGTTTATTTAACATACGGACAAGCTAACGACTAGTCTCGTACAATACACATACTTAGTATTATTGTAACAAATACAATGTGAGTCACAATATTGTTTATATTGCTTTATTTCTTTATGTATTTTTTATATTTCTTATTGTTGGTCTGAATTTTGTGATTGTAGTTGTAGTATGTAGTTTATTTTTAGTAAAATTAGTATAGATATAAGCGATTTGGTGTACACTGTAATACTTATTTTAATAAATAAAGAATTGAATAGTAGTGAGTGTTAAATTACACTAAAAGTAATAGTGAGCTCTAACTACCTACTTACTTTTATATGGCGAACTTTTAATCATCTTCTCAACAATTCGTGAACCATTGGTAGCAACACTTAGTAGTTTAGTATAAGTTAGTGGGTCAGGGTCTTCTTTAATGATTTCATCCAAAGCCTTGGCATAAAGTTTCACAGAATCATATAAATACGCAGCATATATTGATACAAACTGAAAGAAAATAACATCTTAATATTTTATCTTAATATAGAACAGAGTAAAAGTAGATACCAAAATCCTTCAGTGATCTAAACATGATTGCAATTAACGATTAGATTTGTAGGTTCTTATTAATTTACAATTTATCATATTTTCTTTTAATTAAATAAATAATTCACAGGTTTTACTTTGAGAAATATCTTTAGGCAACTTGTTATAGGTGCAGTGTATCTGTTACACATAATATTTACCTTTGATCTTACAGTAAACTGTATAAAGCTAGATATCAATTTAGTTTTTTTTTTCATTTACATTTAAGCTATTCAAAGAATACAGTCTAGATGTAATGTGTGTTAAATATCAAAGAAAAACTAAACCTAATGCTTTTTATAGAGATTTCGGTTCAAAATAACACTTACCTTATTAAACTTAGATCCAAATACGTCAGGGAACTTAAAGGGTTCCTTGGCGTTATACTTGCGCACTTTGTTAGTAAATATTTCATAGCTACTGGAAGGTTCAGACGAAACGACTACCAATAGAGACTGCGCCCGTTTCTTGAACTCCGGTGTGTTAGGACATATCAATTTCGCAGACCTATCTTCAGTTTCTGAAAAATACAGTATTCTATTACAGTGGGTGGTAGAAATAATAATAACCATCTACCCAGACATCCGTGACTACCATACTATATTGAAGATTTCAATTGGCGGTCACTTTTACGAAATGTATACAAATATACCACTTGTATATAAGTATTTTAATTGTTTGATCTCAACGTCAAAACGTGAATCATTTCCACTGTGTGAGTCTTATATTATTTTGTAAACATAAATAAAAACACTTTACTTTATTTAAACCCGTATTATAAGGTAATATTTAAAAAATGTGTTTTACACTAGTAAAAACTACTTCGTGATAGGTTAGAATATAATCAAAATTATTGACTACTTATATAAACTATGAAAAGTATAAACTATAAAAAAGAAAATATGTTTAAATCTTTTTTGTTTATGAAATCACATACAAATAACGTTAAATGTGTTGTGTCTTAAATCGCCCCAAAGTCAGGGTTATATTATATTAGCTATTTGTCTTCCTTGCTTCTATTATTTACCTGTTAAAAAGTGAATCATTTAATATTAAAAACAACATACTCTAACAGTGGCGTCACTACAGATGACAGAGCCACTGTACTGAGTACTCGTTTATTTAACTTGCGTTGAGTAACACACACAAGTTTCACAATTGAGGTAACAACCCCTCAAAAGGGATCACTAGTAGCAGTCCCCGAGGAGGATAGACAAGCAGTTATACATTCTCATAAATATTTCATGAAAGTAATTACTAGTTTACGAATTAATTTAATAAACACATACGTTTTTAGCTAATCAACAATACGGCTATTTAAGCCCTTTAACACTGTTATCCTATCTGGACAAAACTGTCATTTTACCATATCGTGTGAGACAGCGTTTAAGTAATAAAGTTTGTTGATAGGCCACTTACTCATAAGATACTTCAAGGCGTCTTTAGGTGAATACGTCATCATGTCCACAAAAATGACCATGTATTCGCCTTTTGCGAATAACTGGTGAGTCTCCATAGCAGTCATAATTTCTATGAGACCAGATGTCGAGCCCAAGAATACGTAAACTGAAAACAAATTATGAATTAACAATTGCAATCAAGGTTTTTATATTACAACTGTAGTGAAGCCCATTTAAAGGCTAGTAAGCAATATGAAGACTCAGTATAACACTTTGTTATATTGACTGTGAAATTACTAAGAAATGTAGGTAATTAGAAATTAGAAAGTCATCGTCTATTCTGTTATCCTTACAGGCTCTAAAAGCAATTTAAATCTTATGTGTATTTCAACTTTACTATTTGGAAACTGAAACAAAAAATTCACAAGAAGAAGTGAGATCTGTGTGTGTTAACACAGTTGTAATTATTCTCGAACTGCGGAAGGCTAATTCTCGTAATAAAAGTTCGGTCTCAATTCAGTTGCGATCTACTTTCGATCTCACAACTGTCATCAAGGCATTTTTGTAGTAAAATAATAAAGTATTACTAAGACTAGCAGATTACCGATTCAATTTTCAGTTATAATACGATATAATCACATTATAGTCAATGTTGGATGTTTAATACTTTACTACGAAAATACCTGTCAGTTGTGAGATCGACAGTTAATCGGAATTGAATTGAGACCGAACTTTTATTACGAGAATTGACTTCCGTTGTTGATTTTAATTTGGTGCTATAGAAGCTATATTAAGCAATAAGCTATTCCAAAATAACCGTTAGTTTGCTTTTCCGTATGAAATGTATGCAGATATTATTCAAATAACTGAGCCCAACCTTAAATCATATATTGATCTAGACACGATAATCAAAGTCACACAAAAGGCTTACAAATTCAATCACGATCTTTTTTTATGTCATCACACGATCATAACCATTTACTTTAATAATTAAGTAACGATTCATATCGAATAAACTTACTTCTAGTTTTATTCTTGGTATCCTGAATAAACTGATACCAGAAGCCAGGTGCACAACAAGGGAGCTTCTCTTCGCAACATTTGAACCCGTCAATGACTGGTCTTTGGTGATTCACAGTCATATTGTTCCTCTTGGCATGGTTTTCCAATGTCAGAGCTACAGTTACCCAAGTCTCCTCGTATAGAATTGAGAACTTATGCCATCTATAGTATCGTAACAATGAAATCACAGATTTTGTCGCCTGAAATGGAAACAAACATAATAGCTAAGTATGTACAATCTGGACTAATAGACAACCTTGTCTAGATATCTGGGTTTTTAAGGTGTCCTTACTACTATTAATGAGAAATCTAATGCATGAACTAAACACACTACACAGGGATCTACTGTGAAGGAACAAATTGCAACTAGAGGTCATATTAACTATGATGGTATAATAAATTAGAAAAGATCAGATCAGAATAGATTATCAGAATCGAAGGGAACGCTTAAACCACTACGTCATCTGTGCAATCAATGTATTTTTTCTTTTTTAATAGAAAATATAACCCCCGCACTAGGCATAAGACCTGTGTCGCAGGGGACTTTACAAACATACATGAAATGGACACCAGACTCAGAACGACAATTTGTGGATCACTCAAAGTGTTGTCCCATGTGGGGATCGAACCCATAACACTCAGCGCAGTAGGAAGCAGCAAAGTGACCGCTTAAACCACTACGCCATTCGTGCATTCATATGTGTGTGTTGCAAATATTATCTTAATAATGACATATTTAGAGGATATTAAAAATGGACATAATATCTGCAGATTAGTCACATACCTGAGCTCCCGGCGGCTCCAACCTTGCAAAATTTGATAATGTTGACGTTTGATAGTCGGAACATCTCTGAAAGTAACAAAAATAGAGGTATTAGGAGCTCCAAAGATCCTTATATTTATTATTCTCTTCAAAGACTGCCCTTTTATGCGGCAAATAAAAAACACAGAAGTAACTTTTGGCAACACGTTTTTTATGTATTACATATTTTTCTACTGTGTCTGCTCTCTGTCTTTGTAACATTACATATGTTACAAAGACAGAGAGCAGTCACTCAATCGCTTAAGTGAGTAAATAGATTTTACTTAAGTAATACTTTTTTTTAACAATAAATGAAAAATTATGAATTGCCAAACTTAGCAAATTATTTTCGTCAATCAGGGACCTAAATTTGCGAGCAACTATTGCCACAGCAGTACTTAATATTAAAAGAACATTAACATACATTGACATAGTATATTTGACTTAATAATTAGTACTGCATGATTACCTAATATACTCTTTAATACATGTGCGTACATATTTAATTTAAAATGCAAAATTAGGCAAAATAATAGAAACAATTTTACGCGCGTTATGTGAGACAAAACAAGCCATGATAACAGAATTTAAAAATAACCGGGCCTTTTAAAGTTAAAGTAAACAGCAAAGCGAAGTGCATACTACAATTTTATGTCAAATTGTCATGTCATGTTTGTCCAAATATCATGTTTTGTTGTTTGATTTCTATCGTCTTGTATATAATATCTACTTGAGTTATTACTAGTATCAATTAGTTGACAGAACGATATCAAAGCAGAACTGTATATTTTTAACAATAATAACATCTTTCAAGGACATTAAGTTGACTTTCACGAAAGACTTCCACAATAAAATGACATTACTGAAACGGCACTTTTCAGTTTTTTTTTTTGTTTAATAACAACCAATAATAAAAATAATAATACTGCTTTACCATTAATACCAAATGCTATCTGCATTTACTACAAACCCATACTAACTAATACAATCAGAAGACAATCAAAGAGCAGCTTTATGGTGATTAGTGGTTACCGCGAGACTTACATAAGAGATCATGGGTAAGTTTCTGGACTGCGCAATGATAGCTTCGGTACGACACTTGCCCTCTGGTCCAAAGAAAGCAACGACACCCTCGCAGCTCATGTCAGTGAGCAGACGTGTGGCAGTCACCGTATCGTACTTGGTGTCGTGCCATTGAAGCATTAGTTCTACGTCAGGTAATAAGTCTGCATTGCTGTTCAGCTGTAAATTAACAACATTAATTCAAGTTTCAGAATAAATTAAACAATTTGCATCACTGTGTGCTCATTTCAATATGTAAACGCATCAATTGGATATTTCTTTATGTTCGAGGAATTCTAAAAGTTAACGCGACTTGTTTGCCCTCGCGCTAAAAATAGCTACGGAAGTGTAGATATGATTTTGTGCTGATCAAACAGTTTTATCGTGGTGTGAGTGTGTCCAACATAATTTAATTAACTTATATCATTACTTCATTACTAAATATAGTAAGTGTGATTACATTGCTAAGAATTTAAATATGAATGAACTACTTTAAACAGCATTTATAACAGTTGAAGTAGCTATTTATCAACAGTGAGGCTAAAAGTATAAACCATTATTCGGCTATTATTAAAATTGTAATGTAACGTTTAAAAGAAATCCTTGTCTAGGTTTACTGTAATGTGTAACATCCTACTCGGTTATTATCTACATTGATTTGGCAGCTAAAGGAAACCATAAAAACTCAAAGTAACACACCAACCTCTTCAAGGGCGATGGAAAGAGCTCCAGAAATAGTTAGCCCCTGTCTATCTCGGAGTTCACCTGTGAGGCAGGGCAGGTAGCCGATAGTGATATTGTACTTTTTGGCGCAGAGCGAAGGCTCGAAGAGGCTCAGCGCCGCGAGTACGAACACCCGCGCGCTGCGCCACATGCCGTCGCCTTCAACACGGTACCTTCACTTTTAAACAATAGAAAGAAGACCATTAACCTATATTTCTAAAAAGCTTAGGTACTACGTAAATAAAAAGTTATTTTAAAAATCAAAAACTATTATATCGTTAACAAATAAAAAAAATACACAAGTGCATTTTAGATTTTTTTAATTTGCTGTTTTATTTGACACTTGTTTGTTATTATTAAGTATAAACCAACTCAACCTCTCTTAGTATCATATATTTTATTAAATTGTTTGAAATCGGCTTTTATGTAGACTTTAAAGTAATAGATCAACAGACACAATAGCAAAAATCTCTGTTTTGTCAAATAGTAAGAAAATAAATTGAATAAAAATTAAACTTATACAACATCTATGACATGCCTGTACCGATCTACAACCGCCCGTTTCCAAAGGGTTGAGCCTTCTGAGAAGAAAGGGCAAACAAACCCATGGCCAATCTCTTGCAATTCACAGATAGATACAATGGCATTATTAAATATACCACAACATTGTTTTGATGTATACCAGTATGTCCGTTATTAAGGACTAAAAGGTGACTGGTGTGTCACCTGGTGAGGTGTGTGAGATGACTGCACGGATGGCGTAGTGGTTTAAGCGGTCGCCACGCCGCTTCCTATTACGCCGAGTGTTGTGGGTTCAAACCCCACACGGAAAAAACACTTTGTGTGATCCACAAAGTGTTTTGTTGTGTTGACTTTTTTAAAAGAGAAAAAAGAGAGAAAAAAAACAATGAAGAGAAAACAAGATTAAGAAAGCAAAATTCGAATACTGGAGAAAATGAAGTGAAATATAAAAAAATGAAAAAATAATAATAATAAAAAACACACTGGCACACACCACATTTTTACTTAAGAAATAGCCTGAGCCGGAGTTTTCTCGCAAGACCTAAATATAAACATATCACTAGCGTTAGGCCAACACAGTTCCATATTTCAGTGTGAATGTGTGGCAATAACTTACGCTGCCACAACGGCCATGTCAAGGGGTATCAAGGACTACAACATCCGACTAAAATCCGACAGCATGGCCGTCTTAATGGCATTGGAGGGCAACACAATGACCTCTGGTATTGTCTTCGAATGCCACCAAACACTGGAACAGCTCGCTATTTTCAATGGGGTAATCCTCCAATGGATTAAAGGGCACAGTAACTCACACGGGAACGATGCCGCAGATGAGTTGGCAAGGAGGGGCTCGGCAACCCCAACCTCTGGCCCAACTCCACTCCTGCCCATATCGTTTAACCAAATACGATGCTGGGTCAGGCAACGGACCTGTGAAGCACACAACGGAGGTGGAAAAACTCACCCGGCTGCAGACAGTCCAAACTGGTGCTGAATCAAGTCACACCACGACTCACCTGCAGACTGATCAGTCTTAGCAGACCGGAAATCAGAATGGTCGTCGGAACTATTACAGGACATCTAGCCCTGAACCGACAACTATTCATAATCAATGCGACAGACAGTCCCCTGTGCAGGGGATGTCTGGAAGCTGAAGAAACGGCCGTTCACGTAGTCCTGGAATGCGAGGGAGTGGCCACACAACGGGCAAGTATCATTCCTGATATAAAGTCGCTCCTAGAAGCCTGTGAACGCCCCAGGAGGCTTCTGCGCTTCTGGAAGGAGCTTGGCTGGCTCACCTAGTCAACCAATCCTCGACGCATAAAGGACCCCTCTGATTTAAATTAGTTACTATTTAAGTCTTGAATATTATTTGGGATTTTATTATAAAATCGGACACATTGACCTCGAAAAGACTTGTTTATATTTTGAAGCTTAGAGGCGAGTACTGCAAGTTTATTTCTATTTCTGGTATTTATAGAATGTACATCACTTCTTTTCAAAAAGCTATCTTTGTTTTTATGTACAAATATTACATTTTCATATTATATATCGACTTGCCACTGTCATTATGTTTATTTCTTTAAATTTCTGCCTCAATAAGCAACGATTGTCTAAATTAAAGTGCTCGAATCGCTCTCTTTTGCAGTGCAAATATTTATTTAGAGACTATCTATTTAGAGACCTAATACTGATCAAGTCTGAATAGGCTTGACGGTTTACAAAACTGTGCCAAAGCCCGGTCCATTATCGGTTTTTGTAACTGATGTACATGCAGTAACAAGCCAGCAAAATATAACCATTTTTAACTTTTAATGACCTATTAAAACGAATAATGACGAGAGGAACCTTAAGATTTTCAAAGATCAATTCAATCATAGCCCTTTTAACATAGTGACATTCACAAGATTGAGATAAATCGATTAAAGTAAGAATAACTAAAATCGGCCCACTAGTTTTGTCACTAGAGAATCGTAAAGGAACCAACAAACAAAAATACATTTATAGGCTAAAAAAAACCTTACCATTCTTACAAGGAAGTCCGATTTGACGTCTTCTCGTCACATGTATCTTTTCTTTTTAAATTAATAGTAGCCTATTAATTAAAAAATACCATAAAACTATGATTTTGGCTACTGTGAAAAGTATTATTAAGTATATTATTAAGTTTTAATGAGCTTCATCAAAAACCAAACGTTTATTTTTCATTTGAGTACATAACAGATAAGTATACTAAGTTGATTCATATGGTTCATAATTATCTACGTTTACACTACGTAAGCAAGTAATAATAAATCATATACATCCAAACAAATACTATTGTAATAAGAGGAAAATCTCATAATAGCCCAAGAAAGAGTTATTATGATTAGTAATTATGGCCTACTGTTTCAATAATTTGCCGTTGTTCGTTACAAAATTATATGAACATAAATGTTTACATTTGTAACTTTTAGAAAAAATCGTTATAAGGGGAAGTGGCAGTAGAATTGTAACTACGACTGTCTGTCCAGACTAACATTATTGTAGTTTCCTGTAAAACGATGCTTTGAGCGAGGAGTAAGCGGGGTTACTCATACTCTACTTTTTTAAATAAATGTATAATATTTATGTGATACACAAAATAACATAAGCGGTTTCTTAACAAAAAACGAGTGAAAGGAGTATTTTTTACAAACTGTTTAAACCTTAGGAAATAAGATTTGCAAATTACTTTAACTTGCACTCTGGATAGAGATATCACAACTGAATCGTACTTTTTAAAAGAGCAAAAAAAAATGGACAATTAACGGCACAAGTTAAAATAACTGAACTGGCCGGGACTCGGAACTCGATATTACATAAAATTGTTTAACAAAACGATGATATATTTATTATACAGTTGACCAGCAGAAAGTAAATTTTTCTATAAGGTGATATCGTACCAAGATAAACCCTAGAGGTTTTAATAAACTTCAGAGTCATTGTCCTATAACGATAAGAGGATGATCTGTTGATAACGGTCGTACTATAACACTGTGCGCTTTGATGTCAAACAGCCAACGTAGTTAGCGATGGCAATTAAAATTTATCGTGATAAACAAAGTTAAGTATATGTCGTGAATATACGAACAAAAGAAATTAAAAATAACTTAAAAATTCAAATAGGAACCAAATCTTAACTTTGCTAGATAGCAACTGAATATCAACAATTATCTTGTCGACCACGTTTATGACCCGCTAGCTAAGGAAATGTGATAGAAAAAAAGACAATATTATTATTCAATAAACCAATATCAACAATTACTTGCATCACTTTGACCAACGCCGAGATCAGAAACGTAAGTTAAACTAAGCTAAGATTGCAAATAAACTTATTGGTGTTACAATATAATGGCGGCGACAATGAGCGCATCTATTTTTGTAACTCAATAAAGGGAAGTCTTCCTGCAGCGCGTTTTCCGCCCTCAAATGTAGGAATTGCTTCCATGCTGTCAAGTAAGTAATTGGCTCACAGCCGGCCACCGATTAGACCAATTGACATGCCGCTGTTTTGACAACATGCAACTTCTTTTGTGACTTCACTGAGTCCATGTAAGTCGAAAACAGTTATTGTCTCATATTTAGTGGTTAGGTCACTATAATTATTGATAAGTATCGTTTATTCCCTAACATAAATTTAATCGATATACCAACATAAGCATAAAGAAGTGGAACATTATCTAGCCCAGAGTCAATAACCGCACCTAGCCCGCCGACTCAGCACGTTGGTGTCACATTGGCACCTAGTAGACTTGGCTGTGCATAAGCTAAGGCTACCTCATTGGTCGCGCGCGCGCTTTGCGGACAACACATGCACAAGCCACAACTATGAGGCACGATCTCGCCATATGATAACGTCCGCGATAACGTTGTCCACGTCTATTTTTAGAACTTAATAAAAAGGTAATGTAATTGTGATTATTTTACAAGCAACCACTAATGTTGCAACGGGAACATGGTTTACTTGAATTTAAATAGGTATAGAGTGATAACCAACACCCCTACCTTACACATTGAGGAACATTTTAGATGACTTCCTCTATCTCTACGTACTCGACGAAAAAGATGTATTTGGTTATCAGCCATGAAAATGGGTTACTATCAATATACAAGTTTTCAAGTTATCTAATCTATTATAATAATATAGGGATATGATTATACCCGCATAACAATTTATTATAATTGTAGTGACATTTATACTCGTACATCACGAATCAGAGAGCAAATTAAAGAAAGTTGCCTAGAATATCACGAAGTTTTGAAACCTTATTAGTTTAAAATACTATGTTTTTTTTTTTAATTTGCTTTGAAATGGTCAACTTAAAAAGGATACCTATCTGAAACTTGACAATTATAATTTTTAATATAAAAGCCAAAATGTGGTTTAAAATGGTAAATTATAAGGCATTTTTAACAATATACACGATTAGGTTTATTAGTGTGTCTGTATTTGGCCACTTAACTGTGACTCGTCTCCTGAATTGTATGCATATCTACATAGTAACCAACAAGGCCGCTTATGCTGCCATCCACGCGCTACATCTATCATTGACCTAAAATGTAGGTATTAATTAAAATTCTCGTTAAAAACATTTAATTACAGTTACA